TCAGTATCTTTTTGTATTGTGGTGACCAGAACTGGATGGAGTATCTCAGGTGTTACCTCACTAGTGCAGTATAGAGTGGTACTGTCACTTTCTGTGATCTTCATGCTATCTCTCTGCTGATGTTGCCTAGGAGTCTACTGGCTTTTTTTGGCAATTGCAGCACACTGCTAACTCATACCTAAGAGATTCCTAGATTCCTCTCACTGTTATTAGTGTTGAGCCAGGTACTGCCTACTCTGTATCTGCATTTGGTTTTTCTTGCCTACGTGCAGGACTTTACTTTTCTCACAATTGAGATGCATCTTGTTGGATTGCGCCCAAGTCTGTCAAAACCCCTTTGAATTTGTCTTTCAAATTGATAGCAGTTCTCCTCAGCTTGGTGCCATCTGCAAATCTGATGAATGCCCCTTCAATCCCCTCATCCAGGTCATTTATGAAGATGTTGAAGAGCACTGGCCCAAGACAGAACCTTGAGGTACCCCAGTGCATGCTTCCCTCACTTAGATGTAGTTCCATTGAAAACCACATGCTGAGTGTAGTTGGTCAATCAACCACAACTCCATCTGGTAGTGGTCCAGTCTATCTTATGTTGTTTACCAAGAAGTAGGCAGCGGTCTACTTTATAAAGTGCCTTATTGAAGTCAATGTAGAGTATATACACAGCATTTCCTTGATTTACCAATTTAGTCAGTTCATCAAAGAAGGCAATAAGATTTGTTTGGCACGATCTCCTTTTAACAAATCCATGCTGGCTTCTAGTAATTACTTTGTTCATTTCTAGGTCCTCCCAAATCTGCTGCTTATCTTTTCCAGGATTTCCCCAGGTATTGATATCAAGCTGTAGTTTCCTGGATCCACTCCCTCCCCCCTTTTTGTTTGTGTCCAATCCTGATTGGTTATTTTGTTGCTATTAGTTCCTGATTGGTCCTTTGTTCATGCTAGCTTCTGATGTCACTGAAGATATCAGTCATAGTTGTTGGTGAAACACCAGGAAATGGTCTGTCATCATGCTCAAATCCTGCTGCTACTCTTATGCTGGGCTCTAGAATATGACTTCTTGTCTCTCCTGGCCCTGCAGTGTGTGCAGTCCCTTGCTGTCCTCATGGACCTCTTCTTGTCCTGCCATCTTCTATCTGATTTATCAACTCTGGTTATAAGTCTTGCTTCTGCTGCAAAATTCCTACTTGCTTGTTACCAACACTGCAACCTGCAATATCCCCACTTTCTTTTTCCATTACATATCCATCTCTGCTCCAAGGTCTCATTGCTGCTTTTGGCCTTAGAACCTACTGTGTTGGTTTCCTATCTAACTGCCTTTTCTTTGGAGGAGATTTTATTCTTCTGCAATTACCAAGTGGGGAAAAAAAGATTGCTGGGCTATTTGAATATGCCTTATTGACATATGTTGACAGTTCCTCATGTTTTCCTACTGACTGGGCCACACAATTGTAGTCTCATCTACAAACAACAACAAACCAAAATAAGTGCACCATAAAATTCATAATTGGCAAATTAATAGAAGGTGTATACATAATTATCAAGCAGGTGCATATATAAATACTTTGAAGGGGTCTACGACAACTCGCCATCGCCAGCTCACTGTGGGACAACTCCCACAGAACAAGAATTGCACTAATATTGAAGAAATAGTGGAATATAATAATTAAAGAAAGGATGCCAAAGGAGTGACAAAATGAAATTTGAATAACAAAAATTAAAATAATGTTTAATTATTTTAAACAATTAAATTGAATTGTTGAATTGTCCCACAGCGAGTTGTCTGGTGGTGAGTTGGCCATGTTGAGTTGTCCCGCAGTAAGTTGGCCATAGTGAGTGGTCCCATTCTGACTTTAAAGTGCAGTTACAGGCCTCACTATTGTGGGGAAAACATGACTTATATTTGGCAAGTGTTGATCATTATAACGTTTTAGCTATCTTGAGATTTCCCATTCAGATGGAGCTCATTTTATCCATGCTGTATGCTGTATGCAAAGTCTTTATAGCCAAGGACTTTTCTCAGCTTCTTTAAGCTTTTTTTTTTTTAAAGAAATCTTGACTTCCTAGAATCCATTTAGACTTTCCATTTAGTCTATTAAAACTTACAATTCTAAAATGAGTTCAAAATATTGATTTATGTTTAGAGACAATCTTGATCTCTGGATACTGAACCTTGGTAGTAGCTTTTTAACTTTTGCTAAAGTTAACTCCAAAAATTCATTAGTTTTTGGGGATTGTTTTAAGATGACCTTTAAGTTATTGACAAGCTTCACTTCCTATGAATCTTATTGAAGAACCGTTGCCCGTTACACTTTGGAAATAGCAATATTCTTAAGAATATTTGGGACATTGATCTTCAAATCAATTTAGGTCTGGTTCTCAGCTTCTTACTTGATGGTTTTTTTTCAAGTGGTATGTGACAGCCTCCAACTTCTCTACCATCAATATTCTGAATTTTTTTCTGGGCTTTTAGTTTGGCCAGACTGGGCACATTGCTTTCTGCTAATGGAACATTACAAAAATATTATTAGCTATTATCAGAAACAGGTAGTCCTTGGTCAACGACTTGGTTAACAACAATACAGGTAGTCTTTGGTTAACAACTACTCGTCCAGCAATTGTTTGAAGTTACAGTTGTACTGAACGTGTGGTACTTATAACTAGTCCAAAAAGTTCTGGCTGTCTGAGTACCCATATGATTGCAATCTGAGTGCTTAGCTACTGGCTTATACTAAGAAAGTTTTCAGCATTCCACCGTTAAGAATTTGCAAAGTTCCCTGCCAGCTTCCCAAAAGCAAAGTCATTGGGGAGGGATGCTCTCCATCACTCTAGTAATTCTCCCCATCTCCAGCCTGGTCATGTTCCTGCTGCACCTCACTGATCACTTGGACACCCTCCCTCACATGGCAGCAGCACCTACCTGCATGCTTGTGAGCTGCCTGGAACTTCTAACTTCCTGCTGGCTTCTCCTTCCTCCATAGCAGAAAATTATGTGGAGGTCCTTGCTTAATGATAGCAACAGGGATGGCCGTGATTACTGTTGCTAATTGATGTAATCATGTGACATCACACTTTGTGACTGCATCACTTAGCAATGGAATTTACAATTCCAATTATCATCATTAAGCGAGGATTGCCAGTGGAATCTTTGGGCTGTAAGCTCCTTTATTACTCTCTATATAGGAAATTTCAGATGGCTTTTATCCATCCTATCCTGAAGAGATTCCCTAACACAGCGTGAGTTCTATTTGCTATTTCTCTTACAATTAGTTGGATATATTCTCCCAGTTTGCCCAACTGTGTTCTTCCATACGTACCATCCTACCCTCCTTGTGTTTGAAAAATTGTATTAATTTCTTATACATATGCACAAACATATATTACATTTTTAATTGTTTGTATTTGACTGCTGGTTTTATGGCTGTGATAAACGTTTGATTTGCTTTAATTTGATTTGATCTGATTTGATGCCTGCCTACCTCTTTCCATCCCTTTAGCTCATGCATTCCCTGCTCCCTTTGTGGATCTGGGATTTGTAATTTCTCTTAATTTGACTGAAAGCTATTTAGAGAATTACAACTCAAGGATTGAAAATGAATGCCTTGCTTTTCCTTTATTTCATATCTTTATTTCACACCTTCATGCCTCTACCTATACTTCTAATTCTCCTTGCTTTCATGCTATGACTGTTTTATATTGTTGCCAGGGCATTGAATATCTCACCTTCATTATACTGAAGCTACCATTTGCTCCCTCAAATGAAAAAGAGAAAGAAAACTGTTGCAAAGAGAGAGGCCATAGAATATGCAGAGACTTTCCCAGTGTCACTTTTGAAACTGACAATAATCTGCAAAGCAGCTTTTTCTAAAGTGGTCTTGAACATTAAAATAAATTGACAATGGTATAAATACATGTGTAATGGATAAATAAATAAATAGGTATCATAAGTGCCTAATGGAAGCCATAAAGATGTTATTCATGACATAACATCATTGCAATAATGGTATGAATTACATAATTTGTGTAAGGAACATCACCTACTGTATATAGAATCTGATTTGCATATTTGTGTGATGACCTAATGACATGTATGGCATGCCCAATTATAAATGCCTCTGAACTATATGAAGAATTCATTTTCTTATTTTTTTTCAAGAAAATTATAAGGAAATATGTAAACAGGAGAGAAATATATACAGTAATATAGAAATTACAGCAAATGTGATTAAAACGCTTCCTGAAATATGATTAACAATTGATTGGTTTTATCATCCTCCTAATAAGAAGATACAAATGTATAAAGACGATCTTTTAATAATGTAGAGATTATTGAAGTGAGCTAATGTGCATTTTTATAGTCTAAGCACTGACTCAGTATAATAAATAAACTGTACCACTCCTTTGAAACTATTAAAGCAAACCATATTAATTGGTAGCATGCTAAAACAAATTAGTTCATTGAAAGTGCAAATGAGGCCCCATAATGAGTTTCACTATTAAATCATTTTAAGGGCCAGTTGTAAGGGTAAACTGAGGTATTTTCATTTATATTCCATAACATTAGGTAATATAATCCGATATACTCTAACGGGAGACCAATTGAGATTAATGGTATTTATTTTCAGTTAAGGGATTATAAGTTTGCATCATACCGTTTTTTAAGTGGATTTATTTTAACTTGCATTGTACATAAAGAAGTCTCTTAATAAAGGCATTGGAAAGGATCTGAACATTAAACAACTGTGAATAAGGACAAACACGTCTTCAGGATATGCCAGTCACAATGTGAAGCAAGTCAAATAAAAGTTTTATTAATAGAGGAACATAACGAATGTTTACAGATTTAATACATCAGTTTTAACACTTGCTTTTAAATAAATGTGTTCTTGGTGTATGGCACTATTTAAAGTTGTGTGTCCTTGTTTTAATTTTGGTCTTTTAGTTTCTAGTGTGTTGTCTTTTTGGCTTTGTTTTACTGCTTTTTCTTTAATTTTGCTTACCAGAGCCAAAGCCTTAGTAGAAGAACAGCGCCTTTTGTCCCTAGGGTTCAGGTAAAGGCTTAATCTGCCTGACAGAAACTAAAGTTGTTGCTTTTTTTTGGTTGTTGTTGTTTTCTTGGAAAATGGATAGTAGGAAAATGTCACAGTTGGTCCGTTTTCCCATTTTAATTTTGAATGTGTTGTTTTAGACCATCTTAACAAATATCATATTGTCTTGTGTACAGCTTGAAAAATATTGCATGGATATTAGAACTCTACATTGAAATTTAAAGAGACAACTAGCTTTTAATTTTGATTTTATCTATATTTAAACAGCCATAGATATTAATATATATTAATAGTAATAATAATTTTGAAACTCTTCTGCAACTATGTACCTTGAAATAAGTAATCTGTTCTTTTGATATTTGTTCTTTTATATTAAAGTTGATGTCTCTTTAAATCATTCTTTTTTTTTTGCATTTTCTAAATGACATTTCCTTGAGAAGATGGGCAAATAAATTTGTCCTCATCTAAGAAATTTGTATCTGCAGGCATTTTAAGATGTTAATTAAAATTGTGAAATAAAAATGATTATAATGTTTTGTTGTGAAGTTTAGTGTTGATTATATTTGCCTGTTTTATTCAAATACAAATTGTTTGCCCTTTCTCATTAGTTATTCCTTAAAATACTATAGATTAACCAACCTGTAGATTGTATAAGAATGTCATTATGCTTATTTTGCTTTGCTGCATGCTTTCTTTTTTATTTTATTTTTTAAACATGAAACATTACTCATTTTTATAATATTCAGTGATTTGGAATTTAGACATGATATGTATAGTTCAATTCCTAATAAATCTAGCTTAGTTGAGCAGTTTAATTGTCTAACAATAGTACTTGAGAAATATAATATTACAAGCCACTAGTTTGGAGGTTGTTAAAATCAGGTTACATTTGAGCAGTATATAGCACAATATTTGAGTTGAAATTAAGAAGTTAGCATGGCATATTTTGATTATCCACAAAGACAATCATTGGATCAAAACACCATTTGATATTAATGAAAATAACAAGTTACAGGTAGTCCCTGACTTACAATTGGTCACTTAGTGACTAGTTGAAGTTCTGACAGACCTACCTAGTTGAGTACTAACAACCTGAATTTGAAGTTCTGACAGTTGCCCCCTTCCCCCCTGTTCATGTGACTGCAACTGAGCTGCATTTTTGGCCATTTGCAGCATCCTTTGGTCATGTGACTGAATGTTATGACCGTTTTGCTGAAAACCAGGATTTATTTCCAGTTTTTTGGCAGATGGCACCTATAGTGAATTCTTGGTTGTCTTGACAACCATGGCAATTTGCTTAACAACTGCTGCAAAAAAGGTTCTGAAGTTGGATCAGTCACATGACGAATCTGTTTTACAACCACCATGAGTTACAACCATGATAGGCAGATTTCATCACTGTCATAACTCGAAGACTATTTGTAATCCAATTAAAAGTGGCATGGCCAGACATGTTTACACTTTTCCATATAATGTAGGAAAGAATCAGCAGTCCATGAAGAAAACTTCTACTTCATTCAAAACCATCAATTATCTTAGCAGAAGAGTGATAAACTTTTTTTTTCATACTGCATTTGGTTTTAATAATTGTAGATCAGGACATATCTATATGGTCATTTGACTTTAAACATTTTTCTATTTTTCTATCTTAGCAGAAATTTGTTGGGTATGTATAATGCTTAGGCTAGAATAGCTGATTAATTGTTTACAACTTTACATGAATTTTAACCTATTCCAAATTTGGGAACTAAAATTTAAGATGAGATTTTAGAGGAAAAGAAATCTAGAGCTATGTAAGGGATTAAATAATATTTTCAGTGTGCAGAAGGGAGTGGTAAAATGGTAACTATATATTTGAAGAAAATATTTGTAAAACCATTTTACAAATAGGTGATTGTATTGTATAAAGTCCATAGAGTTCACAACCGTATTTCAATGTACAAAACATTTAATATAGCATTTAAGCACTTTGTGTTTTAAATGGAACCTTGACTCAAACTATCTATAAAATTCAGTGGCATACATAGGTTTATACTATCAGACAGCCAAATTAGAATATTCATTGCAATAATAAAATACAGTGTAGATTAAGCATTTCATTTATCTTACATTTACTTATTTTACCTAATAATTTTTTATTTTTTTTTGCCTAATTCATAATTTTTCTTTACAGATAAAATTGTGGTATGACAAAGTTGGCCATCAATTGATAGTCACAATATTGGGAGCAAAAGATCTTCCTTCAAGAGAAGATGGGAGACCAAGGAATCCCTATGTTAAGATTTACTTTCTTCCTGACAGAAGGTACCATGAACAGAAAGCTTATATGATTACATGTGGGAATTGTTACAAATGAATTTCTGTGAATAATAGCTAACAAAATATAACTATATGATATATAATGATACAAATCTGTTAAATATTAAAGGATTTTATCAGGGCTGATCTGTTAACAATAATGAAGGATTGCCATATCCCTCATTTAAACCTTAAGTCAAAGGGAGGGAGTGAATGAATGAATAAATAAACACATAAATGAGATGCACTGATGTGCTTCTTCAGATTATTGTCTTTATGGATTATTCCTGTAGTATAAATGTTTATCGGTGTGGACAGCGACTGGTTGAACAAGTTCCATTTCCAAAATCAATAATACATCATGGAACGCTGTCTTTGACCTGAAGGGGTGCTTAATGGGAAACCTTGCTGCTTTCATTCACTGTGTTCAACACACGGGAGATTCCAAACTTGTTGCAAAGCAGGGAGAATCTAAGAGACTACGGTATTCTTGTCCAAAGTTCAGGACAGCTCAAATACGGTGAAAAAAAAAAAAAACTATAGAAGGGACTGTAGAGGAAGGAAGGGAGGGACGGAGGGAGGGGGGAAGGAAGGAAGGAAAGAAGGAAAGAAAGAGAAAGAGAGGCAAAAGGATTTCTATTTCCCATATCTCTTATTTCTTAAGAGTAATTATAGTTATTTTTCATAATCCTTTTATTAATTTTTAGAAATCAGTCTTACTGTACTTTCAAATGGTCATTGCCAATTTGTCCTTCTGTATTTATTTTCACCCTCAGGCCAATAAAGTGCTACTTAAATTAAAACGTAATTCTTTTTCTAAGAATTCTCACTCTGTATTACGTTACAGGTGTTATATTAAATATTTTGAAATAAAATTTAAATACTACTTAAATTTAAATAGTATTTATTTACAAAAAGTTTGCATGATGTTGAAATGCATTTCCCAATTTGCATTAATTGTTGCAATTACAATCATTTTAATGTTTCCATTTTGTATGTTGTTATCTTTTTGGTTAGGTTCTTGAAGTAGGGGAGTCTCAAGGTAGGGTACTAGGGCATAATAGTTAAGCTTAGACCTTTGAACATTACTAAAAATGTTAATGGCATAATATTTTGTCATTTGCAATAATATATTCTTTAGATTATTTGCCAGACATTATTTTGACATGAACACTTTCAATACTTGCACACTTATTTTATAAAACGTTTCAATTTATTTACTAAAATATGTCATATCAAAAATATTGCTGATGTTTTATAACTATTTTGATTAAAATATAGTATTTTTGTGGAGTGAAAGTTTTTAGTGAAATGAAAAAGGAAAAAAAATCTGCAGCAAATAGCATCTGATGCCTATTGCCAATCCATTGTTAGTATTGTTTTGATAGTTGAGTTCAGCTTATTTTGGAAATATTCATGTGCTTCAAACATCTCAACCAGTGTGGTGCATAGTAGCATATCCATAATTTTCAGAATATTTATAGATATTTGTGTGAAGTGAGTGAACTTTTTCAGTGCATAGCTTGTACATTAACTACTATTCAAGAGGAGCAATTTATGAATATTCTTTATGATGCTTCCTTGACAATAAATTTCCTAAAAATATATCTCTTTGATTTTGGCTCAAAGTGCAGAACATATAAAAATAATTAAATGAGAATCATTGAGCATACTGATTTTGTTTACAATATCCTATTTGTAATAATCAGGATTTTCTACAAATATTGTGGAATACGTAATTATCTCAGAAGTCCAATTTCAGGAATTTTACAAAAGGAATCAAACTCGTCCTTCCCATTAAAAATATTATTTTTACTATTCTTTGTAATATCAACATTTTTAATATGTATTTTTTAATTACAGTGATAAAAATAAAAGAAGAACAAAAACAGTAAAAAAAACATTGGAGCCCAAGTGGAATCAAACATTCATTTATTCTCCAGTTCATCGGAGAGAATTTCGAGAGCGAATGTTGGAAATTACTCTTTGGGACCAAGCTTGTGTTCGTGAGGAAGAAAGTGAATTTTTAGGAGAGGTAGTCAATGCTATTTATTGTTTACAAGGAATAAATATTTGATGTTATCCCCATAGGCACAAAGATACAGTAAATGAACAATACTGCATCACATTTTTCCTGTTGCAATCTTTTTTATATACTTTGTAACTATTTTTGAAGCTGTTCACTTTCCATTAAGTTAAATAAATATACAAATACCACCTAGTACATATTTTATACAACAGTTAAAGTGCAAATGGTGTGTTTTACTTGAACAGTTTTTATTTTATTCTCTGTTTTTTAGATTCTTATTGAATTAGAGACAGCATTGCTGGATGATGAGCCTCATTGGTACAAACTTCAGACTCATGATATGTCCTCATTGCCACTTCCCCATCCTTCCCCATATTTGCCACGCCGACAGCTTCATGGGGATAGCCCCACACGAAGGTTGCAAAGTAGGTTATAGAATACTATTAGTTTGTGTTCTTTCCTAATGACTAATTGAAATGCTTTCTTCTGGAGTGCAAATTTATACAATAATAATATAGTATCTCTTCTGTTTTTATAAACTAATTTATATATATTGTCCACATGTTTGAGAGTCAGGAAAAGCTAATGTGGAGAATTCATTGTATATTTAAAAATGTATTTGTTTTCTCTAGTTCTCTTTTGTTCTCTTGCCCATTTATATAAAACACATCACATAACCATCAATGATAGTTCTGGCAGTTCCAGTTGTGATTATTCAGTGAATCCCAATCATTAGGTGTGGTGTCATGTAATTGCTGTTGTGACTTCCTGCTGGCTTCCCCATTGCTTGTCAGAAGTTGACAGTGAAAATTACAAATGGTGATACATGACTTCAGGATACTGTGACTGCAGCCACTTTGAGAATGGCCATAAGTCTCCTTGTTCAACATCATCATCCCTTCAAATAGTTGTTGAGCAAATGGCTGCTAACTGAGGTACCTGTATTGGAAAAATGAATATTTATAATAAACAAATATTTGGAGGATTCAGTCATAGATTTTGAAGGAAAAAAATCAAATTGTAATAGACTGATTTTTTTAAAAAAAAATTGAAATGATTTAAAAAATATGTATCTATAAGATCCATGAATGTAAATCTTATATAAATTTAAAAACTTATTTTATATTATGCTTCCCTTTTCTTCACAAATATGTCTAATATGTCTTCCTTAAAATCATTAAACTTCACAAAAATTCCTTGTAACTACATGTCAACATGTATATAAAAATGTGATTATGTATGTTAAGCAGTAGATTTAAAATCCGTGAACATCATTCCAAGATCAGTTGGATTCCTTGACATTTCCCCCTGGACAGAAAAAAAGAAGAAATAGCAATAGCAATAACATTTAGACTTATATACCACTTCACAATGCCGGATGCGTCACTTGAAGCTGCGCCCACCCCATTGCCGACAATGGCAAAACTGGCCCGATAAGTTGCACGACGTCACATGATGTCGTGAGTTTGACATGCCTGCTTTACAGCCTTCTCAACAATTTGGGTCCTCATTTTACTGACTTTGGAAGGATAGAAGATTGAGTCAACCTTGAGCCAGTGAGATTCGAACTGCTGGTAGGCAGCAATCAGCAGAATTAGCCTGCAATACTGCCTTCTAACACTGCGCCACCATAGCTCTTAAAAGTTGTTTGTGCCTCTGTTTTATATCCAAGTCTTATCACCCATAGTCACAGTGGAATTAGGCAGCTTATACATTTAACAAACAAAAACAAATCTAAATTTAGTAGATTATGAATTATGAAATGCAGTTCATACAGGTGAGCAATTCAATATGTGAAGAATGGAATATGAGCCCTGTTCTCTAAACCAGACTGCCTCAATCTTTTACCCTGGAGGAATCCTTATAGTATTTTAGGTCTCAAGGAACCCTGCATAAAAATTACAAAAAAAAATATGAAAAATTCATAATAAAATTCACTTCTAACCTACACAATTTCCATTTTATAATATTTACAACAATAGCAAAGCAGTAGGCCAGAAACTGATATGCAACATGTAAAATTCTCCACCATTTCAAGGATCTAGCATTGTGTGATGCATAACATTAAAAAAATATTTCTCTTTTTGTTTTCAAAAATGACCTCATGCTTCTTTTAATTTTTTGCTTTCTTTTATACAATTAGTGGTTTGGGCATGTTATACTAATGTGCTTATTTGAATAGATTTCGTATGTGGTAATATATAATGTAACAGAACAGTAGTCCATGAAGGGTCCTCTCTGAGCTTGCTTGTTTTGTTGCAGATGTTTTATTACCCAAACTCGGTAACATCATCAGTGCTAGGGTAATGAAACGTCTGCAAGAAAACAAGCAAGCTCAAAGAGCACTGAAGACCTTTCATGTCAACTCTGAGCTACAAATATTCACCTTTATTAGAACAGTAGTCCAGTCCAATTATTCCAGTAGTGAATAATTAGGGAATAATTCAAAATTTCCATCATAGCTTACCATCCTAGAGTTTAAAATCTTTTTCTATAATATGACTGATTTTTAGTGGGGTTGAATCATAGCTTACTGTGGCATGTCAATTAGATAAAAACTATGTTTTCCATAAATACTTTAGATCCATACAAAAGCACGAACACTTTGAATTGGGACTTGCCCTCTGGTTTAGGGGCAAGTTATGATGGCTTTAGAGCTGCCTCATTTTAAAGCTATGGCAGAAGGAACTGGAATACAAAAAGCCGATCATGAGAATTAAAGGTGCCTAATCCTCATTTGGGCATTATATGTATCTTTAAAAAATAGAACAATACTTTTAATGAACCCTCTCAAGTCTCATGTAGGTGGCAAAATCAAGAAAAAAGTAACATTGCAATAAAAAGTCTTTAATACTAGTTCATGATAAATACAGGTCCTTGGAAACAATAATAGGAATGTCCCAGGGGTTTTGAGTAGTGAGTTAAGGCAAACTCTCTTTGAAATTCATTAGTTCAGAATTTGGTACCATCACTGCAAGTGATTTATTGCAATGTGGTCTACATGGGGCTGATCTCAAAGTCCATTGGGAAGCTATAGTTGGTAAAAAATGCAGTGTTTTGCAAACAGTAAGGGACGCTTCTTATTAAAGTGTCACCATTAGCTGCACTATTTTCCAGTTGGCTTCCAGCTGCAATTTAAGGTGCTGGTCATTACTTATAAACTCATAATTCATGTCTGCTCTGTCAAATAAAAATAGTGGTTACGCTTAATTATACACAACCTTTCAAATTAAGTACATTTCTGTTACATGTCAAAACCTCATATCACTTCATTTTAACATTTTCCAGATAAAGGCTCATATTCATATAATCCAGGTAATTTAAAAGCATGCCATTTATTGCTTGTGAGTTTTTTTCTAATGTTATTGATGTGCTTCTGCTATTTGTTGTGTTCCAGTTCAGTTGCTTATATGCTCTTTTAATTTTTATTCTGTTTTCAGAAATTAGCCTTTATTCTTGCATTATTTCTAATCGTACAATAATTTCTAGTGTTATAAATAGTTGGCTAAAAAAATAGAACTGCTTTCTAACTCTTCATTTATTGTGTTTCTATGTAAAGATAATATACTAATATTGACATTAATATCTCGATAGTACTTTATGACAATTTATGTTAAATTTAAAAATCATACTAATATACTAACTTTTTGCTTATAATTCCTTACTGATAGGAATTATGGATTGATTATGCCTCCCTTATTGAGTGGTATTAATCATATATTATAGGTTTACGTATACACTTATAAATAATTCTCTTCCAACTAGGTTTTTTTAATTCAGTAAATAACCAATCTTATTTATAATAATCATAGCTCTACATTAACATTTTTTTCTTGATAACTGTTGCAAGGTTGTTTTGAATCAGACATTTGATTAGAAATGGATTAACTTGAACCTCTGAGATATATTGTGTTTAAATGAAAACAGCAGAACAAGTTAAAACATACAGTAGAATTGGATACTATTTCCTAAATCAATTCAGCAAATAAATACATCCAATTTGCTGTTTGTATTAAAGGATCAGATTAAATCAACCTTCCTTTAAGGCCCTAAATGGCTTTGGACTTGGTTTTGTGAGGGACCACCTTCTCTTCTTTCAACTGCTTGTTTATCCAGGTTAAATTTCATGTCCTGGCTTCAGCAGAAAGACAAACATTCATGCAAGCATAGTGTGTATGATTATGTAGGAGGTTTGAGAAGGTACTCAGGCCAAGCATATAGTGGAGAAAAGGTTCAGTAGGAGAAGTATTGATGGGAAGTGAGGTAGAGTGCATATACTGATGGTTGGAACAGTGCAATTCTGGCAAGACTTGTGGATGCATCAGGGAGTGGGTACACACTGGGTTTGATTGTAGAAGCAGTGAGGGAAAGATGAAGTAGAAGCACAAGGAGAGTACGGGTATGGGCATGCGGGAGTATGTGTGGAATACAAAAAAAGAGTGATATTAGAAAAGGCAAATGAGGAATGTGTATTTGGTACTTACTGGTATCTGAGGAGAAGATGTAAAATTGGACCATTTAATCTGTAATCTGAAAAAAAACACAATGTTTTGGAAGAATCATGAGACAAGCCAGTGACTTTGGTCAGGAACCTGCTGAGGTTGAGAATAAGAATCACAAACAAGAAAGCACAAAATATGGGAACAGGAAGGCAAATGCTGAAGTTGCTTCTAGCAATGAAAGGCAGTTCCTGCACAGTTTAAATCCTTACCCATTGAGCACACAGTTGAAGCTTTTCTTGCTTAGTATTGGCAATGATAAGATTTTTTTTCCTACTTATTAGTTTTTAATAATAAAGCTTATCATTGAAGTTCTTTCTCTTCTGATTTTTTAGTGAACCCTTTCACAACCAAAAGAATGAGCACATAATTCTGAGAAAATACTGAGGATAATTTGAAGAATGAAATATTGCCTTTTCTTTAATCTCTGTTGCTTATATATAAAAATCCCTACTCTTTCACCACAGAATACAGAATAACAAAGTTGGAAGGGACCTTGGCGATCTTCTAGTCCAACCCCCCCTCCCAATTAAGTGGAAGACTCTACACCAGGGGTGTCAAACTGCCGGCCCACAGGCTGAATGCATCACGTGGAAGCTGTGCCCACCCCATTGCCAGCAATGGCAAAATAGTGCCAATACATTGCGCAATATCATGTGATGTCACAAGTTTGACATGTCTGCCTTATACCATTCTAGACAAAGGGCTATCCAATCTCTTCTTAAACACCTTGACAAGAAATCTGCAGGGACTTGTTCAAAGGACAAAAAAGGCTTTAAATGCTAGGTTAAGAAGAAATACAATTAGAGTTAACCATAAGTGTCAAAGGAGAGATCAGTAGACTGCGATAAAAGAGAGCAAAGAAAATTTGCATCATAGATAAAAGGAGGAAAATTAATATATCAGTTATTCCTATTTCCTTAGTTATGATTGAGCATATATGATCTTGTATAACTATATGTTTTTAAAAAAGTATTTTCATATCATATATGCAATCCCAATGAGGATTGTGTTTTCTGTTTCTGAACAGTAAAGTTCTTTTACTGTTGACAAGTCAATTATATTTGGTTCGTTGCAAATATTAGGACATCTCTTGTGTACAAGCAGATAAAATGGTAAGCCAGAGCCAAATATATATTTTTTCTTATGGGGCTGGCTTTTTAGGTGTAGCAATTGACTTAGAAGATGTTTTTATTAACATTTCAATATGTGTTATACTAACCAAATTAATACTTGAAATATTATTTTTCTCTGTGTATTCACAAAATGGATGTCTGCAAAATTAACAATCTCTACTAATGTTACTAGTAAAGTTTAATAAATATGTCACTCCTTTACTGTAATAGCTATGATCAGTCCTATAATTATTTGTTTGTTTTTGCAGGATCCAAAAGAATAAGTGATAGTGAAATCTCAGACTATGATTGCGATGATGGAATAGGAGTAGTGTCAGGTAAAACATTTATAGACATATTTTTAAAATTCTGAAATATTTTTCATGATGAATTCAGCCCCTCTTTCTTCCACAGTTATGTCTTAATGAAAAATTGCCATGCTTGTTTCTGCAATGTTTTAAAATAATTTGGTTGCTAATGAAAGAGTTCATACTGGTTATTTTATTTATCCGGAAGGATTTGTTTTCCAAACATAAGTGATGCAACTACTTTGGAAAGTAATTTGGCTTCTGGTGTGAATTTCCCTATTTTTTGGAATGGGCCACGGTTAAGTTCCCTCTTTAGGTCACTGAGTGCTTAAGCAGGTATAGTTGATAGGGGAATTGAATCCCCTAGATATTGGGATAGGTTCTTAGGGTTTTTTGGGTATAGGGGATGAATCAGTGCAAGTTTGAGTATGTATACCTTGGCCTTGGAGATGGGACTAATGGATGGAAGTAGAATGGCTAAAGAGTTGAGAGGGAAGGCAAGAACATTCCTACAACAATGGGCAGAGGAAGGTTGGCAGGTATGAAGGCATGGTTGCATTTAGGGACATTGGTCCACTGCTTGAAAACAACCCCATTGTTGAGCCATGAACCTAATTCCTAGTTATCAAAGCCTTAGTGGCTTGGCTGTTCTGGCTGTTCTGACTGCTGATTAATACTACCTTATATACTAACTTCCTTACTAATTTTTATAATACAGTTAGCTGCTAGATAAGTAGTAGTATAATAGTGACAAATGGCTGTCCTATTTTTCTTCTTATTTGTAATCTATGTTACATTGATTTCCAAATATGGGAGAAAAGACTGAAATATATTCAGAGATCTTCAAATATTTAAAAATCGTTTAGGATAAGGAGTTTTCTCAGTATTAATTGGTAGACATTAATCAGCTACAAGGATATCTATAGGGCTGAAGTAAGAATATTCAGTTTATCTTTCAAACAAAGCTGCTCAGATGTACTCAGTTGGATTTCAACTGATTTGGTCCAGTTGAGATTTTGGAGCATGGCCTTGTGGAGTGATCTGGCTTGAGTCTGAGTTTGTAATACCTATTGACATGGGCAGAGTCCTTCAGATTATGAACATGGCCATTTATTTATTAGATCCAGTTTCCTTTTGGATTGTTAAAGCTTCCTGGGAGGTGATCTGGTATTGGTTCCATTTGATGGTGTCCGTGTTTTTGACAGAGAGAGTATGTTCCTTTAACCTTTAAAGGAGATAATAGCGCATTCCTTCCTAAAAATCAGTTGTTGGATTCAATGATTCTGGAATATTTCCTTCCAAGCTCTAATCTTCCCTTTTGGGGGTAGGTAATTGAAATGATATTGAGCAATAGCTCCAGAGATCCTGCAAGAAATTGGTTAACTGGACATATTTCAGCCACATTTCAAGCCAGGATACAATATAGAAACAGCTCATGGGTACATTCTTTCAATATTCTACCTGTCTGACTATAAAATGGTTTTTAAAGGCCTTGCATGGTAGGCCATAAACGAAAGCATTGTAAGCAAATAGCACAAAAGACAAAACACAAAAGAGAATCAATTCAGCATAGAGTGAAAAAATAGCTGGTGGCACTGGCAACTCACCCTCTAAACTAATGTGTTAACATCTTCTGAAATCTGTCAGGGCAAGCAATTAAGGTTCAATTGCCAGAGTTGTGGAGAGCTTGATCTTATCAAACAGATATGCAAGGCAGTCAGTGAGAACATTACAGTGAATAACAGAATGCTGTAGCACTCATTTGATATTGGATATAATCCATAATTATAAAACAAAACACAAAAGGGACATTTTTATGCCAGAAATTTTACATTTGTTTAAATCTCAGAAAATGCAGGTTTGAATGAGATCGAAAATCATTATTTGCTTTTTCCATTGAAACAATTGAGAAATAAAGTGTTGAAACAACAATTTAAAATTATCAACCACCAAGTTTGCTTATGCTAAAGAGGTCATACATGCACGGATGCATGTTAAGAAAACTTGAACATCTGGTACTGGTTATTGGGAAAAAAAAGTTATTCATAGCAAAAGATCTTGCTTATTCATGGGCTGGAGGAAAAGGGGGAAAAGCATTTCCATAAACTTGGTTGGAAATGATTCAAGAGAAGTATAATTTAAGTCTAGAAAATAGGTCTACTGCTAATGAATTGATCTACCTCTTTGTCATTTATTGTCATTTATTTGCACTTGTTTGTTAGTATTAATCAGTATAAGTAATTCTCTTAATTCATACATTATAAACTTTTTTTTGATACTAGAAGATCTTCAGGAATGATGCCTCAAGAAAAAACTAATACCTTTCAGAAAGAAATATATTCTGTGCTACAACTAATTCACCAAACAATTAGAGGACATAAAAAGAAATCATAATGAGACTAAAAACAATTTAGACAATATAAATGAACAAATCTTCAAATTAAATCTACAATAGAAAGTTCACAGATAACGACTATAAAGTATGAACAAATAAACCAGAAATCAGAAGAAGAAATAGAGGAAATGGATTTAGAGATGGAAGAGATAAAAGAAGGGAAATATAAACAACTATATACAAACAAAATACTGCAAGACTTAGCTATAATAATGAAAATGCAAAAGACCCTTTACCCATTAGGTCTGCAAAATATATCTGATGGCAAGGAAGAAGATATTTAAAAATGGAATATAAAGCTGTTAGGGAAATGTCACAACTTGAGAGACAGGGAATGAAAAGAGAAGTAGAGGGAGAAAGGAACTGGGAGTTGCTTAAGGAATATAAATGTGAGGAATTCCCCCCCCCCCAAAAATATCCTACCTAAATTGTCTTCCTCATGCCAAACAATTTTTACAAAAATAGAAAGAAAATTCCTAGGCAATCTAATTGCCCTGGCTTGGAAAGATACTTGGCAAAGAAAGAAAGCAAAAGCCAGATTTAAAAATAGAAGATTTGACCTTTTAGAGGGGGCATTATATGTTTAAATACTTGTTTGAATAAGATTAAAAGAATGGATGGCCCTTAGATATAATTAGACTTTTATAATGAAAGATATGATTTAGAACTAGACAGCATTTTTTTTCCTTTTTTTGATATGGGAAATGTGAAGATAAGAGGAGGATTTATATGAGTAAAACTTTTAGCTATATAAATGTAATTAATATTGAGAAAATCATAACTGAAAGATATTTCAAATAGTGATGGGAAATCAAACCTTAACAAGAACATGAAAAACAGGATATTGATTAATGAATTGACATTATTGATTTGTGAATTGATATTATTGTTATTTGTATATTAGTAAAATGTGATGAAGATGCTTATATTTAACTTTGTATACATTAACAGTACCAAAAATTGTAACTGTGTAATGAAGGGAAAATGGAAAAAATATGGAGAAGAAAGGCAGATCAGGGAAAAAATACTGGATTATGTAGTATTGAACAGATTTATATTGAAGAAGTCAATGTTAAATATTTGAACCCAGGCACTTTATTGCTCCAAGACCAATTCATTTCTTGCTAACTAATATTTCCCTATTACCTACCTTATCACTAGTAAGTACAGTCAGCTGTTGGATAAGTGGCATTATACAGTAGTGAGAAATGGCTGTCCAATTTTTTTGCTCTTATTTTTTAATTTGCATTTTCAAAAGTAAAAAAATGGGAGGAACTGCATATGTACTTTTAAACAAATCTTAAATACATTTATTTCTATATATGGGAGATCAGACAGAAATGCACTTAGAGATTTTCTTTAATTAAAATATTTAAAAACCATTTAGGATAAAGAGTTTTCTCAGTATTAATTGGTAGATATTAACTTTGTAATTTATTTGCTGTAAATAACCACCTAATTTGTGTTCTATTTTTATGTGAAACTATCTCATTATGTTTTCAAGAACATTGTCAGGCTACTATTATTTCTTAGTGAGAAAAATATATATTCCAGATGTTAAATATTTCCTGGTGTAAACTACATTTACTCCCATAAATTGTGGACAGGACAGCATTATAATGATTAATGTTTTTAAGCGAAACAGTTATCTTTTCAATGCTAAAATAGATCTTTCTTTTCATAAATGAAATTTCCACTTACAGAATTCTTGCCTCATGGGCAAATTATTGAAAATAATGATACAATGAATTGTACCATTGTACAGTTGTACAGTGTTAGGTACAACTATATCAAAGTCCTGCCTTGGGCATAAAAGCTAGCTAGGAGGGTTAGTCATTCTCAGCTCAGCTCAGCTCAGTTCACCTTATAGAGTTGTTGTGGGGGAATAAAAGCAGGAAGCAGTATTAAGTATGTTCGCTGCCTTGAGTTATTTATAAAACAATAAAGTCAGTATAAAAATAAAATAAATAAACTGCATGCTTTGTGATCTGCCTAAAACTCATAAGGGTACGTCCATGCCACAATAATTTAGGCCAGTGTTTCACAACGTCAAAGGCCTTAAGATGTTCTGCTTCATGTTGGCTGGGGAATTCTGGGAGATGAAGTCTACACATCTTAAAGTTGCTGAGGTTGAGAAATACTGATTTAGGCACACACAATATTTGCAGTTTCTCTCTAGGTTATAAATAGCATAGCAGTTCTGGTTCCTAAGCTCGAGAATCCATGTCACATTCTGTAGATCAGACAGTTCTCCTTTGCTTAGTGCCATATGATGACAATGCATGTTTTTCATGGGGACTGTGTGGTTATAATACCTTAATTATTTCTTCCTCTTTCTGCAGTTTGAATTTGGAAATTGAATGATTGAAATTTAGGGGGAAAAAGTAATAGAACCAAATATAATAGCAGTGCTATTGGATGAGACATTTTAAAAGTAATAAAATCTGTATACATTCATTGATGCATTTCATTTGTAATTGAAATGTCAAACATATGTCATTAACCTGCACCATAACAAGCTATGACAAATTATTTTTCCTTTACCCATATGTTTTTAACAATATTGTAATCAATTATTTCTCATTTGGGAATTTGGCAGTGCAAATGATACTTCTCTTAGCTAAATGCAAATGCAGTCTTCTTTCTGTTTCCTTCCTCCCTCTCTCCATGCCTCATTTTTTCAAGATTAAATGCTAAATTCCAAAATTTCCCTCAAAATTGATTTTCTAGGTTTGAATCTCATGGTAGGAAAAGAGACTTAGGAGAAGCAACAAGGACTAGAGAAGAGTGTCTTTCAGCATTTTTCTGTTGCAAGTTAACCTCAATCCATCTGTCATCCCACTGATTGTCAGGATTGATTTGGCTGACTGATAGGCAGGCATCATCTTTTGCCCTTGCTACTCCATATTCGTCCCTCTCAAAGCTGTGCCTATCTGGCACATGCCAGATAAAAGGAGTGTACCAAATCTTTGGTCAATGGTATAGCTCAAAATCCAAGAATCTGGGCCATCTTCTAAATATAATATATATTGTGACTACCCTGCAAATAATCTTGGTACTTCTTTTGTTTTAGATGTATAAAGTTATGTTTTTCCAGTTTCAGCTTTTTTTATACATTGTGTCATGATTTTTGATGTCCTCCCTTGTGTTTTTATAATCTTACTTGTAATAAAATCAGCAGATTATATAGGCTTGTTGACAAACACCCCCAGTTTCCAGGCTTTTAATTAAGATACGGTAGACTCGGTTAAAGTACTTCCCTTGGGAAGCAATGAAAAGACATAATGAACACATTATATATAAGTAGCTTATTTTGAATTAGCACTTTCTAGATGAGAGACAGATTTATTTAAAATATCATTCCATTTTATATACCATTCATTTTATTAATCTTTATGTTTTTAACTTGTTCAGTAAAGGGTTTCTCCCTCATATAATTGAAGAATTTTTGTTTAATTTTGTTGCTTACAGCTGTGTACCTATGGAGAAATTATATTAATAAGAATAAGTAGGGCATTATCTTTTTTTTGAAACATCCCTAAGGAAGGCTTACACCAGCAGTCAGTCTTTTCTCCCCCACCAAGCTGTATTATTTTTAGAAATTACAATGAAAATTTTGTGATGGCAGGCCATTTTCTGTGACATTACATCTAAGGAACTAAGGAAATCAGTTTTTATGAAAGAGATTAAAGTTGTTTGGGACCAAGACTACAAAAAATACTTGCTGTAGGATCTATTAATAATGTTGAGATTGATAAAGTAGGAAGAGGGCCCAAGCAAAAGAATATCTGAAAAATAAGAAGATATAAATTTGATATGATTTCAGAAAATTTCAAAAAGATTGTTCCTCCCCAAAAGAATAAGAAATAAAAGTTTGCATTCCATTCAATGATAATAAATGTTACATAATTCGTTTTTGGGTAAAAATAATTTTGCATACAGAGCTGTCTGGGATCTGTGATGTCATCAAGCATTAGATATTGTGTGTTCTTCTTTCTATATCTATTTGGGAAAGAAATAAAACAGTAAGGAAATCTATTTCAGTTTTGGGGTTTCCAAAATTATTAGCTGGCCATTATGGGAAATGAATGGCTTCATTAGATGGTTTTTTGGCTCTATTTGACAAAGGCTATTTTTATGAATTTCTGCGATTTGATGTCAGCAATTTGAAAAAGACATAAATAATTTTCTACTGTCTATACTACTTAAAATATATAAAAAATAAGTCTTTCAGCTCCACTTTTTTTTTGTAGATTACAGACATAATGGAAGAGATCTTCAAAGTTCAACATTATCAGTGCCCGAACAAGTGATGTCATCCAATCATTGCTCTCGATCAGGCTCTCCTCAACGTGGTGACAGTATAGGAAGAACTAGATCATGGTCTCCCAGTGTTCCTCCATTACAAAGGTAAATTGTAGTTGAAACTTGTAAGAGAAGCCTGGTGTTTTCTTCAATATAAAATACACCGTGATAAAACATGACTTTATAACAATAAAAAAATGAAAGAGGGAAAATATCAAACTATTTCTTTACTTAAAACTAATACTTTTGTTTATGATGATCTATTTTATTATATATGTCAGTGTTTAGTTTATTTTTTTGGTCATTTCATTCGCTATAGTCACCAGTTCAACCAAATGATTCTGGGCTGCTTACAATTGTAAAATTATAAAGTAAAAAAATATTAAAACACTAAAAATATCCACAAAATAAATGATGTAAAATAGTAATATATAACATTTGTTAATTATTCATTGATGAATTTATATAATGATAAATAAATTAGATAATGAATATTTACATACACAAAGATTATATAATGTGTAAAATACTTTTTTATATTAGTATAATCTATCACCATTCAGATGAATTATATTTCCAGTAGCTGGTAATCTCCCAGCTGAGTGTAGTATGATATTCTACTTTTTAAAATTTTGTTTAATATGGAAAGCTGTAAATATGAAAGAAAATTTTCTGCACACAGACAAGAAACACTGAAGTGAGCAAAGTATACAATGATCTTGTTAGAACTGTGGTACTGATAGTAATTACCGTTATTTTAAACAATCATTTTTCTTCTGCTCACCATTTTTTCTTGGGAGATTTTAACTTATTTATTTTTAGTATGAAAACTTCATGCTGAAATATCTGTGATTCTATGCTACAGTGGCAATCTCTACATAGTATTCTTGTTCTATGAGATGGGTTCTACCTGTTTAAAATAACAGATATTGATTATAGTAAAGGATTTCCAATACATAAATAAATACATAAGCCAGAAAATATTTTTTGAGGTTCTCGCATATTTTGATCTATACATATTATAGATAATCTTGTTCTCTTGGTAACAAAATAGTCAGGCTCACATTAATAATTAGCCAGTGGTGCACTATTTTACTGAGACTTGTAAATTTATATGTACAATGTGAAATAAGTAAATTTTAGTAAAAGCATACAAAAGCCATGTTAACATCAGAAAATATCTCAAGAAAATGATTAAACTACTTATTCATATACTATTTATATTCATTATTTTATTCAAGGTTGTTCGATAACAGCTTAGGATTAAAATCCACACAAAAGTGCTACCTAATTAGAAATTTGTGTCTATACATATGTGTCATGAGAGAGAAAGCCCTGTCTCTTTCAGTTTTTGGCAAGTAGATGAAAGCCCTACAATCTAAAAATCGGTTATGTTCATATCTTCCAAACAATGGTAAACAGGCTCTTCTAACTCTTTTAACTCTATAGTGTGTGCAATTAATTTACAAAAAAATATTCAGTGAATTCATTATAGATATCATTTCTGATGTAATTTTTTTCAACAGTTGTGCCCTGGATACTATATGGAACATAAGCAAGAAATATCAAACTACTGAAGAAAATAAGTGCACGGGGATAGGAAGATTAAGGGATAGGAGAATATCAGAATTATAGTCCTCTCTAACCTCTAACTGGGAAAAATAATAGTAAACATTAGTCAGCCTTACACATTAGGAATTGCCCAAGAAGAAATGATGATGCAACCATCTTGCTGAGGTTCAGTTGTTTAGATGTTTGTAATGAGAAAAAGCAGGTTATATATGTTTATGTTTGTATGTATGTGTGTATGTTTGCGTTGTCAAAGACACCACTCTGTTCAAAAAGGTCTGGCCAAGGCTGTTTGACATCCCTGAACTTGAACCATTTTATTAAATATGGGAGGAGTAAAGCATAGGGAAGAGATACTTCCAGTCTATAAAATTTCTTCCTCTGCCCTAACATTTAGTTACAGACGATTATCTTTCCTCTAATGCCCCTTAAGGGACAATTAACACATATTTTAAGTCTCCATTACCATAGTCATAAAATTATGAATATTTTTTTTAGACTTCTTCCCTATGTGGTAACAAAAAGCAGTAGAGAAATCCAAAGGTTGTGAATGATTGTAACTGACCTACATTGTTTTGGTTGATCTCTGTCTCCCATCCCTCAAGAACCTGTTGCTATTCAAGAAAAACAAAGATAAGCATCCCTGGAAAAACAGGAATTCAGTAGCAATATTATCAACTGATAAAAATTTAACATTTAACGCAGGGGTGTCAAACTGCTGGCCCGTGGGCCAGATGCGTCATCCGGAAGCCACGCCCACCCCATTACCGGCAATGGCAAAAACGTCCTGATAGGTTGCGCAACATCACGTGATGTTGTGAGTTTGACATGTCTGATTTAAGGTTTTTTCCCAACTGACAAAAAATTAAAAATATAAATTGTATTAGTCAGAAAAAGTCTTACCATCCTCTTGATTTTTTACTGCCATTGAGTTAATATAGGCCTCCTATAATATCCATGAAAAAATATCCCTTCCTATAGTGTGTGAAAGTTTCAATTGTTTATGAAAATTGCATACTTATTTTAAAAATGTAAAAGTTCCTTTTAAATATCAATCATCAAATTTTCTAAATGAAGGATCATCATGCCAAGAGTTAAATAGTGTTTTTTAAAAAAAATATGAAGGAAAATACTTAAATGATATTTTATAATATTCAATATATCGCCATATAAAGATTGGTGCATTTGTATGTCTGGTACTTTTATTAATTAGAGAATTAATGTACATTCCCTTTTATACTTCTCTGATTATAGAGTGAATTCTCCTTCCTGCCTTAACTAGAGTTAAGAACTAAATTAAAATTAATGTGAATTACCAATAAAGTTCATCAAGATACCTATTTAATAGAATTTGTTTCAATAAGTACTGGTTATTTTGCATGAATAATTTTAAATTACATGCTTACTTTGTAGTGGGTAGATTATTTGGAATTTCATTTTATTTCCAAATAAGATTGGTCAGTTGTTGGGCAATAGAATTGTATATAACAGCACAACGATTATAGGCCATGGCGAAAGCAAATCCAAATATTCAGGAAACAAATTTCCTATCTTTTTGGAGGCATTAGAATCTGGCTTAATTTTTTCAAATTCCTCTCATCAATTAAGAGGCTATGGAATTTCCATTTTACAATTATCTGATTGCAAAGATTTATACGATGCTAAAGCGTTTTCCAAAAGGCTGTATCACATGCCAGAATTTAAATAACCAGCAGGTATTAATGACCAGAAAAAAACTGTTAGAGTGAAGAATGCAACAGCTTACATTTGATTAATAAAGATCATTTTAGAGATTAGCAAAGGGATTTGCTCATTTCCCCCTCTATAACATTGATGGTTTTGTTTCTTCAAGGAATGTGGAACATGGGTCTCGAGGGACCCGATCTACTCCTGCACATTACAATACCATGAATCGAATGGATAGACATCGAATAATGGATGACCACAACTGTCCAGACAGAGAGAGGTAGATATTCTGAAGTAACAGAGTAAACAATGGAAAAAGAGTCTATAGACAGAGTCAATTCTGCTCTCTGGTTTACAAAATTAGGGTAGAGAAAAAAGAACTGTTCCTATTTTTGACATTATTATTTTGTTACAGGCATTGTGTTGTATATTATGTATTCATATTGTGCATTTTTCCTGTCAGAAAAACTAGAAGGCAGTAAGTATCTTTTAACTTGAAGATGTAGGGCTTTATTCTATGAGGTTTTTATTTTATTTTGACTATTAATTTTATTTTGAATAATAATTTATTTAAGGTAAATAATAATTAGTCTGTTAAGGTCTTTAGAAATAGGAATGTATAATAATTTAGCAATATAATTTAATATTTATATATCAAATACTTGGAAAGCTTCATGATACGTTCTATACTTGATTTTAGCATCAATTGCCTATGTATAAGTAGATTTAAACAATATATACTTATCCTGTATCTTTTAGGGAGCATTTCTCTCTGGATAAAAAATATATATAGTGCAGCTGTTGATCTTCAGAGTATAGGACTTCATCTTACAGACTGGACTTAGTGCAAAAGGATCTCTTTTAAATATAATATTTCTTATAATATATATAAATATATTTATTTTAATTAATTTTTCCATGGTTTGATCTGTATATTTGAATTAGAGATGGGAGCAGAATTAATGTTGGTAATTTTCTCTCCCATGACTATGGCAAAACGTGGCATTTCTTACCACTGAAAATCTGTTGCTTCTGTGGCTTTGATGGGGGGGGGGGGAGAAGCAGATGAATAGTGCATCTGGTTTTGGGCACCACGATGTAAAAAAGATGGATGTTGAGGTTCTAAAAAGAGTACAGAGAAGAGCAACAAAGAAGATTAGGGGACTGGAAGTTAAAACATATAAGGAACGGTTGCTGGAATTGTGTATGTCTAGCTTAATGAAAAGAAGGACGAGGGGTGACATGATAGCAGTGTTCCAATATCTCAGGGGATGCCACAAAGAAGAGGGAATCAGGCTCTTCTCCAAAGCACCTGAAGGCAGGACAAGAAGCAATGGATGGAAAATAATCAAAGAGAGAAGCAAAGTAGAACTTAGGAGAAATTTCCTGACAGTTAGAACAATTAATCAGTGGAACAACTTGCCTCCAGAAGCTGTGAAAGTTTTTAAGAAGAGACTGGACAACCATTTTCTGAAATGGTATAAGGTTTCCTGCCTGAGAAGGGTGTGGACTAGAAAACCTCCAAGGTCCCTTCCAACTTTATATTATTATTATTATCAATCATCGCACAGTCAGCCAGATGTTCAGACTGGATTTGGCATTTTGTCTACCTATCGAGTCCTTACCCAGGACCTGGGATAGGCAGAAGTAGATGTTTGATGGTATTACAGGTATCGTCGCAGGATGGAAGCAGTTCCTAATAAGGCCGCCTTTTGCAATTGACTAATAGCAAATTTGTCAATGCCAATGGTGTTCAAGTGGTGCTCCAGTTGTTTTGGGATTGCGCCCAAGGAGCCTATGACTATTGGTACTACCCTTGCTTGCTTTTGCCACAGTCTTTCTATTTCTATTTGTAGGTCTTTGTATTTTGTTATCTTCTCCAGTTCTTTCTCTTCTATTCTGCTGTCTCCAGGCACTGCCACGTCCACTATCCAGACTTTTTTGTCTTTCTTATCGACAATTGTTAAGTCTGGGGTGTTATGTTGCAGGTGCTTGTCTGTTTGAATTCTGAAGTCCCAGAGCAGTTTAATTTTATCATTTTCTATGACTTTCTCTATTTTATGATCCCACCAGTTTTTGCTTACAGGCAAATGATATTTTTTGCAGATCTTCCAATGCACCATTGTTGCTACTTTGTCATGTCGCTGCTTGTAATTATTATTATTATTATTATTATTATTATTATTATTATTATTATTATTATTATCATCATCATCATCATCATCATCATCATCATCATCATCATTATATCACCCTAATAAGAATCAGGTGGGTTTCCTGTTTGGGTGCCTTCATACATATTATTCACACTCACCGGTCCAGAATTCTTGATCTGTCAATGCTCTGCCAGTACTTCAGTCAAGTCCTGTGTTCTTAAGTAAGGCATAGTATCTGGAATCTTAATTTAAGATCCATTTCTGCTTCCTTTGTGCATGACTTGCCCCAAAAGATGGCATTGCCCACTCACTGAATAAGTTGATCCAGACCTTTCAATTAACATGTTAAGGTGCCAGTAGATTCCAACATTTTAGTAAGGAATGAAAACTCCAGGACTGCATCTTTCTAGGACCAGAGATACTAATGTTTTTTTCTGTTTTTGTTTTCATGCTGGTAATCAAGAATGTGTTTATGCAGTGAGTAAAAATGACGAATGAAAAAAGAACCTAACTGGATCAAACCAATGTCTCATATATTCTAGTATGCTATTTTATATGGTGGCCTACCAGAGGCATTCTGGGAACTCATAAGCACAGACAGAAAAGCAATGGCTTTGTTCTATTGTTGGTCAATAGCATCTTGTACTTAAAATATGCTGCCTAGACTATGAATATAGTAGCCATAGGTAGGCCAGGCTTTTGTGAATTTGTCTTTCCTCTTAAAACCTGAAAAAGATGGCTCTCAGTAGGCATTCACTGCAAAAGACAGTGAATTTGATGATTTACAAGTTTTGTGTAAAGGGTTTTTTGTTTGTCAGTCCTGAATGGTCCCTAGATTAGTTTCCATGAATGAGTATGAGTTCTAACTAGGTACTCACTCTGGTCATGTTTTCCACACCATACATTATTTTATGTATCTCTGTTTTCATGCCTCTCATCAAATCTCCAACTTCAGAATATGTTCAGATGTAGTACTATTTTTCAGATACAATAGATTCATATAACTATATTGGATGCTTCATTCTCAGTTCCATTCCTAATAAGTCATCCAAATGAATTGTCCTAGTAATTCTCTTCTAAATATTAATTTGATCTTTTTATAGCTGTCACATATTGATTAACATTTTCATTGAACTAGCCACACTAAGTCCATCATCAATTTCTTTAAATTATCCACTGCAGCTCAGATTTGTTTGTCCCAATGTGCACACTTTGTATTTTATTATTTTATTTGTGATTTTGAGCCCACTTTGGAGCTAATATTATTTTACTTTCTTGAACAGTTGTTAACAATTACCAATTGTCATTAGCAATTATGGACAGATAGTTATTTAACAAATAGCACAAAGTCCAACATCGGTCCTATCCAGTCCTATACTTTGTACATCTTTCCAGTATAAAAATTGTTATTTATTCCTTCTCTTAGTTCCCGTTCTTGAAATGGGTGCTAATTTCTGCAAATTTCTGGACAGGTTCATTCTGTCCAGAAAATGGGTACCAGGGCTTTTTTTTTTTTTTTTAATCTGAAAACCAATTTTTCCCAAGCAGGAACATAGCTTTCTTTAGCAAGAATTAGGAAGATAAAAAAGCACAAGAATTCGAGCAAGTGGACTACGTTTCAGTTTAAAACCAATGTAGCTCATTGGGAGTGGAGATTTTTAGTGTCCCCCCCCCTGTCATAGGATATACTGGAAGGGGAGGAAGCTCTTCACTGAGCCACGGTGGCGCAGTGGTTAGAATGCAGTATTTCAGGCTAACTCTGCTCACTGCCAGAAGTTTGGCAGTTCGAGTCTCACCTGCTCAAGATTGACTCAGCCTTCCATCCTTTCAAGGTCAGTAAAATGAGGACTCAGATAGTTGGGGACAATATGCTGACTCTGTAAAACCACTTAGGGCTGTAAAGCATGGTGAAGTGGTATATAAGTCTAAGTGCTATAGCTATTACTATTTTAAAAGAGGTTGTTTATATAATGGTGAACTGAACTTTTGTCAGTCTGAGAATCAATTCTTACATGGAAACAATTTTAAATAAAAATTATTATTTCATTAGAATATAATTTATTACATCTGGGATTTTGACTTAGTATTTTAGTGGGATATGGTAATACTGTTCAGTGATAAATCCCTCTTTGTTTTAGGCTATGTTAGAAAACAACAAGGATTCTTATAACTTCAAAAGGAAAAGATACTTTTCAGAACTAATATGTGCTATTGTTCTAGAGATTTTAAAAACCTATAGTGCAAAAACTTCAAATACTCTTTTGAAGTCATCACTTTCACATTGGATGCTGTTAAGTAGGAATAACTTTAATTGATGAAGTTAGGCTTATAAAAGCTTGCTTTCAATTGCTTTTGAAAGACTATACATAGTACTAAGTTACAGATTCTACTTTATGATGCCACAAGCTTAAAAATAATGTTTATGCACAAATCTGTTTTGAAAAATGTAGTAAATCTGTAAATTTTTGTTACTGCAGAACATTAGGGGAAATATAAATAGAGCCTATCCATAACATATTTCTTCCTCTGTCTCCATGGAATTCAGGGTACTTGATTTCTATCACTATTTTCTTAATAGCAACCTGGTAAAAGAGTTTAGGCTAGAGGCAGTAACTGATTCCAAATCACTCAGAAATATTTGTGGCATAGTCAGAATACAGCCTTAGATCTTAATCCTGATTTAATATTGTAAACAATGCAGCACATTAAAACAGCATTCTTGATTTTTAAGCAGTACCGTATTTTTATTTGGAGATTGAGGGCAATAGAAGAAGGGGATGACAGAGAATTGAATGAGGTGGCTGGATGGAGTCACTGAAGCAGTAGGCGTGAGCTTAAATGGAATCCAGAAAATGGTAGAGAACAGGAAGGCCTTGAGGAACATTGTCCATGGGGTCGCAATGGGTCGGACACGACTTCGCAACTAACAACAACAACAACAAATGGCATAACAAAAACAAGAGATTATTTTTATTGACATAAAAAGTAATTTAATTAAAATTAACACTAGATGTAATAATGCTATGCTTCCTTTAAAATGATTTGGGAAAAGTGCTTTAGAACTTGCTTCAGTGAGAGAGCAGGATCTCTATGTTGTTCATTAAAGCAGCCACATTTGTTGAGGCATAGATTGTGTTGCTTTCTTACTAATGAGGTTTAGTGATTAGATGAAAATATTAAGTGTATTTTCCCTAAATGATTTCGGGAAGAAAGATAGTAAAAAAAATTTTTTTCTGATGAATTCCTATTTGATATTCTACTATATTTGAAAGGAATTATATTGTATATACTCACTTTCTAGTGTGAGATTCATGAGCACTCAGACTTTTCACTGGAAAACCTGGTGTCACAAGGGAAAATATCACAACAATTAAAGGGGCAGGGACTTGATGATTTAACAGCTAGAGAAGAGGGGGAGAAATCCCTAACAGAAGAATAATCCATATACAGAGCAAAAGTGACTTTTATTAACAAATAGTGCTGATGCTGCAAACAATCACAAAGACATAGAATAAAAATCCTCTTCATATTTTTAGCAATAAACTCCCTAACTATTTTAACTAGGTCTCTGCAGGGGAATAAATCTCTCTAACTGGGCAGAGATCAAGTTAATTGGGCAGTTATAGAAACATTGGGTTGTTAGTTGGTCAATCTCTTGCTGGTTGAATATAAAAATTGGCATATTTGCTGGTTAGGCTTTTAAAAAGCTGTTCCTTTCCTTCTACTCAAAGGACTCAAGAAATGGATTTGAGATAACAATGTTCCTTGCAACTTGCCTTGATATGAAATTTGCTCTTTTGTTAAACCATGTAATTTGGGGATTGTGGCCTTGCAGCTACTAGGAAAAGTGAGGAGCAAAAACAAAGTAGAATCCAGTTGACTAGAATATTCTGCCAAGTTTTAACCCAGCAGATCTGTGGTACAGACTGCCCAGCCAGATTAATGGTCTGTTAGTAATTTCTACTATTAAAAGACAGTTATAAGACTATCTGAGATTCTTTTGAGCTTTAAGTCTGTGAAAATGGTAGTTCTCGCAGAATTGATCACAGTAATTCAATCTGGAATAAACAGTGTCAGAGGCACTATTACTTAGTTGATATTACTTCCCTTAATTAGTAACCCATCTAGACTGTTTCCTAAGACAGCCTGGTGGTCCAGGTGAAAGTCAGATCACCCTGGTCTCCACAATATAGGGATGCTTATCTATGATAGGCTTTTTCTTTAGGGGTAAGATATAGTTGGGCTTCTCCAATTTCTAAGGGTTTCTCCAAAGGACTTGAAGTTTTTTCCCAGGATTACAAATATTGACTCTGATGGTGCTTAGAAGACTGCAGCAGGTCCTTGCATATTGTTGCTCCAGCAGCTTACCAAATTCAGTGGGCATTCAGGTTTGGCCAATTTATCCTATCTATACCATCACTTAATGATGGTAATTGGGATTAGAATTTCTATCACTAAGCAATGTGATTGCAGAATGCAATGTCATATGACTGTATCACTCAGCGATGGAAATTCTGATACTTCCAGTTGCTCTCATTAAGTAAATCCCATGCTGTTAAGTGCAACATCATATGTCACATTTGCAACTTCCTGCCAACTTGCTTGTAGGAAATTGGCAAAGAAAGTTCCAAATGTCAATCAAATGGCCTCAGAACACTGCAGTATCATAACTGTGAGCCAGTAACTGAGCACCTGGATCATGACCATGTGACTGGACTGCAGGGATGCTTCTGTGTGAGAAACAGTCATAAGTACCTCTTGTTCAGCACCACTGTAAGTTTGAATGGCTAGTGGGTGAATGGTCATCATGAGAGGATCACCTGTATCAACTTTTCTGGGACTGCTCTATCAAAAAAGCCTTATTCCAGTTCAAGTGTTGAGCAAAAACTGACAATTATTTACATATCCTGCTACCGAGTATATCCCTGGTGTTGCTTCTTGACATACTAATTGTTTGTGAGTGGTGCAATAAGATCTTCACTCTTATTTTCAAATATCCAGTGAAACAGCAGAGTAGTCCATTTAGCAGCTGGCCCAGATAGCACACTGTGTGAGCCAACAATGTGAGGACTCATATAAAAACTGTACTGTGCCAGAAATGCTGGGAGTCAGTCTAGGGATCTATCAAATTTCTTTTAATTGGCTTCAGGACATTTGTAATGTGAAAATGTTATAGTTGCACCATGTAAATGCTAAGAGTGAACTGACAAAGTTTTTCTGAGTTTTTTCTGCAAGCAAAAGTTTCAGTTTGGTTGCAAAAACAGAAAGGAGCAAGTATCTCTGTTTTGGTGTTAGAATCAAACTGTACTTTTCTAGAGTCAGCAATCACACAGTACCAGGTTTGAAATGGGATCAATGATGAGGCTTTAGTAACAAACCCTCAGAAGACAGGTAGAATGCCCAGCTGAACAGTTACACACAAGTTCCATAGTAAATATCTGTACAATTAAGATGCTCCAATATGAATTGATCCAGAGACAGATCAACAATGATTTAGTATCATAGTTAAAAGAAAAAAGCTAGTGCACCTACAGCACCCATATCTGTTAAACAGGATGTGACAATGGCAGAGAAATTAGTTATCTGTATCAGAGTTCAGACACCAGAGGATTTCACAGCTGGTTTGAGACTTCAAGCCAAGAGCAGAACAAAAAGCCAGAATAATAGGATCACAGATCCAGTATTGCCAGTCACTTGATTGAAATGTTGTTAACGTCTATTGCTGAGAAATCTTTGTTCTGTCATTTAAAATACTGGCTCATTGTGGGTCTAGGCACTCTGCCAGGATCTGGCCTCTTATTACATCTGAGTCACCTGCTGATTCTCATTAGGTCCCTGATCTATTCCAGGTGATTGGAGCTCCTGAGCCTTACTGTTTGCCAGATCAGGCTGTTCAGCCTCTGATTCTGATGAGTTAGAGTAGACCATTACAAGGAGGCAGCTGTTATGAGCTGCTACTGATGTGTGGTGAAATCTGGGTGAGCCATCCCTTAATTTTGTGTGTGTGTGTATCTGTGCTCAAGGGAAAGTATTGACCTCATAGAAATTCTTCAATGAGATTGATGTCCCTTCAGTTAAAGAAACTGTCTGCCAGTAAACGCTGTTTTCTCTTCTGCAGCCAAAGTACAAATAGTCACAGAGGCCTGCAGATGGAAGGAAGTGGACAATCCTGCAGGAAGTAAAGTGAAGCCCTGCAGGCCACCAATCTCTCTTAGGATCTTCTTTCTAGTCACAGTATTCCCATACAGGAATCTCAGACTCTTTTTTTTTTTTTTTTTTAAATGCTTTTATTGTAAGACAGAAAAGAGAAAAAAAAGGATAAAAGGAATACATTAAGAATATACAAAATATAAAAATTACATAAATATTTACAATATATTAAAAAAGGAAAACACCCCATTATTTCTGCAAACAATCCTGAATTAAAACAGATATAAAGATCCTTTAGAACTAATATTAGAACCAAACTACAAATTGATGAAAGTAGCCAATTTTATAAGATTTAGTCAAATTCATAATATAATTAGCAAGAATTTCTAATAATCTGAAGCAATATCTTTGTGGCTTATCAGACAGAATCTAGTGATTCCTTTTTTTAGCAAGTTAGTCTTTGTACCCTCTTTCTTCTCTGTGCCCTCTTTCTTCTAGCTCTCAGTGTTATTTTCTGCCAAACAGTTGAATTTTAGGAAAAGACTGTTTCCATCTTTATGAACTTTTTGATTAATCACACTTATGGTGAAATCAGTACAATGTAATGTCCTCAACATCTGACATGCCAAGATAGTTCTGTGAATTTATTCTGGAATATTCCTAAATATCTGTAAATATCTTGCAACCTATTGCTTAAGTCTTTTGTAAATATGATAGTTATGTGGCAGCCACCTTCATTAATCAAAGCAATAGTACCTTGATTTGATTTGCACATCATCCACATTTCAGGTATGCGGGGGGGGGGGGGGGGGAAGGAGGAATTAATTGCTTATAATAGTATTGCATCAGGAAAAGCACATTAATATATGGATCCCTTTTATGAAGTTATTTTTCTGTATAAAAATTACACCTTTATAGTGTCTTTGTGCTTGTGCTGTCAGGCCTTCATGTTTTATGATATATATCTATATCTATATATGACACTATCTTAATTTTATTGTCTTACATTTTATTTTTGTTTCTGCTATGCTTTCAGTCATTATCTCACTCTGCCTTGGTCCCATCACACGCAATCCATTGACTACCATCATAGAGATGCCAGGTATCTGCTTTCCTGTGTGTGACTCTGTGTATAAATGCATGCTTTTACTTGAACTTGTATTTTTTGCTTCATACTAGTTAAGCCACTGAATGGCTTAATAACAAATCTTTTGCAAATATTAATACTTGACTTTAAAAAAAGTACTACCTTACATTCATTGTTTGTCTAATCAATAGAGAGCATGTTATACAATGGCACTTTTTGCCCTGTTCTTGAACAGTTATCATTCTTTGTCTATGAAGTTCTAGATGTTAGAACCATTATTCCATATTACCATCCATAATATCAAGCTGCTATTCACAATCCTAGCACTGCTACCAGATAAAAATTGTTATACAAAGTTGAAGAATTGAAGTGGATACTGTATAGTAGCTGAAGGTGTTGGTTGTATTCCAGAAGAGGATGGACTCATCTCATTGATGAACTTGCTAGGTATCTTTAAGTGACCCTGTCCCCTTGCAGTCCCACCTGTATCATGACAATAATGCTGATTTGCCTTACTAAATGATAAGGATTGATGCAGTTATGTAAATATTTTGAATTTCCAAAATATTCTATAATAGTAGTTGTTCCCAGGATCCTGGGTACATTTGCAGCCATTCTGAACCAAATATTTCTCTGTCTGTCTGTCTGTCTGTCTGTCTGTCTGTCTGTCTGTCTGTCTGTCTGTCTGTCTGTCTGTCTGTCTGTCTGTCTGTCTGTCTGTCTATCTATCTATCTATCTATCTATCTATCTATCTATCTATCTATCTATCTATCTATCTATCTATCTATCTATCATCAGAAATCTTAGATGTCCCTGTCAGTGCCTTCCCAATTGCATAATATTTAAGAAAATAGGATCCGAATACTGAAATAACAACAATATAGCAGAAATTAGCCAGCTGTTAATTTTTTGCCTTCTATAACAACTAGCTAATGTCTTTAAAAATACATTGTTTTTATGTGGGCACAAATATAAGATTTAGTATGCTGGATTAAAGCTATTTTGAATTTATACTAGTAAGAAGAATGCTTTTTTCCTATTATGCAGGATCTAGTGACTATATATTCCCAGTATCTGTAATTTAATGCAATCAAATGTTATTTTTTTTTTAAAAAAAATAGCCTATCACTTGTCAGATTTTTAAATCATAAGAGATTTGGAGTTGTCATTTGAGATCACCAAGGATTTTGTATAAATGCATAAAATCTCAGGAATTAATGATGATCAAATCTTATCAGAATTTCTGTTTAATTTTTTTGCAGTCTGCATCATGATATGTGATCCCATATCTGCAAAAGATTGCCAACATCTGAACTATATTATGATAGCTATAATAATTTCACAAATTTAAAATTATGCCCAAAAGTTTGGAGATCCTTTCTTAACAAGGGGTTCTCTTATACTGTAGCTGTTGATTAAGGGAAAAGTCATTCAGACTTCAGCCATGCCTTTCTTTCTTCCTACTAGTATTTAGCATTAATATTATGGATTATATCTGAGAAAAATGAGTTTTAGCTGAAAATATATATTTTCTTATTACTGGAAATTAACTCTTGTACGATTGGGAAAAGTTATATCAGAATTACCATAATGATGCTATTGAAGAGCCACTTACGTAGTTGGCTAGGATTTTTGCCATATTGATTGCATTATTAATTATATTTGAAGGAAACTTTACTTTCCTCATACATTGGATAATCAATAAAGTTTCTTGTAGCTGTCTCTTGGGCTTTTTCACATAAAATTCAGAAGTGCTCCAATATATCCTCCTTTCTAAATGTTCTATTCAAAACACGTTGATGCTTAAACTCTTATTTTGATCCACACTATAAATTAAACTACATGAATTAATGAACATATTTTTCATACCCATTTTATTTCCTTCTATCATTCATGTATATTTTCATGCCTAAATGCTATTCATTTCTCTGTTTCTTATTTTAGTTTCATGTTTCATTGCTTATGTTTTGGCAGCAAGAACAATTCATTGTATCCTAACTTTTGTGAAGATGCAGTCAGATTACTTCGATCGCATAGGATGTGCCGTACCTATTCTGAGGGTGCTTACAATGAGTTTGAGAGGTATAACATATACAAAGTATTATTAGTTTACAACATTCGGCACAAACACATACTATACTGATGATGGGTAAAAAGCTGTCACTGCTATTTTGAATGAGAGGTGCAATTAAGTGAATGTGAGTTCCACAAAGTGAAGAGCAAATACTATTTTATACAACGCATCTAAAGCAAACTTTTGAGGGTGAATATTTGTAGAATTCACTGCACACTATTAACAATTCAATATCGAAAATAATATTTTGGGTTTTGAATTCCCCTTATCTGGGAACTAGAAATTTTATATCTTTGGTTCTGAATGGGATTGCACTCCCCTACTGAGGCAGTCTACAGTCTGCAAGTCCAGGTGGCAGTTGTAACCACAAAAATGCCATGTTGTGTGCAAGTTGTACCTGTTCCTGGATCAACAGGTCTTCATTTCTGTCACTCATGTCCTAGTCATTTCCCAAATGGACTACTTCAACTTGGCTACGTGGGTTGCTGTTGAAGACCATTCAGAAGCTATAATAAGCCTAGAATGCTGCAGCACAGGAATTCATGGGCACATCAATATATGCTCATGTAACTAACCTACTTTCTGAGCTGCACTGGCTTCCTTGTTAGCTTCTGGGTGCAATTAAAAATGCAAGTTATCACATATAAAGCCCTACAGGACTGTATTGTTAGTGAAACTGCTTCTCCCAAATGATATCTGCCTGTCTCTAGAATGGACACACCTCATGTCATCTGATGCAATCAGGAGAAGTGCCTTTTCTGTTGCAGTACCTGTTGTTGCAATGATCCTTCACAAGATAGGGCTAGCACTGACCCTGATGGCCTTCAGAAAGCCAACTGAAGCTTACTATACTGTAGATATAGAAGGGGAATGTACATACTGCAGCCCTTGAACACAAACTTTCTCAGGGTAATGAGTCCCTACCCATTTTGATAGGAGAAATAAAAATCGAATGTAAGCTTCAATGGTATTCCCACACACAAAAAATGAAGTCTAATTTATTATACATATAATAAATAAATACTTTCTCTAGCTACTGGTTGTTGTAATTCCAGTGTTGGTCAGAAATTATCTATAAGTTGAAAATAAAGAAATCAACTTTTTGATAGCTTAGATCAATGGTGGCGAACCTATGGCATGGGTGCCAGAGGCGGCACTCAGAGCCCTCTCTGTGGGCATGGACTGTCGCCCCAGTCCTAGGCCTTCAGCTGGGTTTTATAAAACCTTTTCATTTAATAAAACCTTTTCACCACCATGTGCAAAAAAAAAAAAAAGTTCAATCAGTCAATTTCAACTTCTTGTGGGAAAACAAAAGTTCTCACAAAGTTGGAATTGATTGATTGAACTTTTTAGTCCCACCCAGTCTGCCGTTACCACCGCAGCCATGCCCACCCAATTGGCCACCCCCACCCAATTGGTCACACCCAGCCAATGGGCCACACCCACCCGGCACTCGACAATGCATAAGTGGGTTTTGGGTTGCAGTTTGGGCACTTAGTCTCTAAAAGGTTCACCATCACTGGCTTAGATACAATCTTTTTAAGGATTTATACAATTAAATCAGCATCTTGGATCTGCTTAGAAACAAAGCATTTAATTGTTTTACAATTAATAGTTACATAAAAGGGCATCACAGATAAAAGTCTACTTGGAGTATTTGCATTAGCTGAACTTACTTAATATTTTTAAGGGCAGTTCTGTATAGAGTGATTTCTGTAATCTAAATTAGAAATCATTAAATTATAAATTACCATGGCGTCATTTTTTGCCACAAGTAAGAATTTAACTTGAACAACACTCAGCTTATACTGAAAGAACATTCTATTGGGTATTATACCTATTACACATCATTCCCATATTCATACTTCTTATATACTACTTTTAAGCCACAGAATATTTTGAAAAAGCTATTCACATTCCCCTTTGTGCTATAACACATTCTGTTTTGGTCAATTGTATTACTTAATTTGAAAAAAATCCATAACATCCCTAATAAGTAATATTGAATATTATGTGTAGTAGCATTTTAATGTTGCCGTTACTCCATCCTCTCGCATAACTCCTCTAGGTTGACTGACTTAATAGCTAAGCATAAAAGGGAACTAAGCTAAACATTTTAGTGAGATGCTTGGAGCCAGAACACATTACTTGAATGGTTGGGAATGAATAATTCATTTTCCCAAACCTTTAAAAGTTTACAAAAAATGGCTTCACCTGGTGAATCTACCACAAATCTACATTCAGAGATAAGTGTTCATGTTTACCTCATGTCCTAATTTCATTATGTTGGATATTTTCTACTATATACACTACAACATTGACTGTTCTCATACCTCAGTAGTAGGCCAGTTCACATGAATGAATTTATGGGCTGAAAATCTTGCCATCATTGCTTTTGTTAGTTAAGGCATAGAATGACTTAACATAGTTGTTGAAGATAAGGTTATCACAGGCATATGAATCTTGTTTGAATATGGAATTATTTGGAAAATAGGTGTTTTCAGGATACAAATTATTTTTACTTTGCATTGTGCTAAAAGTTGCTTGATATTTGGTGGACATTATCATGCATCAGCAGAAGTATACAAGGCCATTCTAAAATACCTTTACTGTTTATTTTATGTTCAGGAGGAGTAGGAAGGAGGGAAGAGAGCCTAATGCATATGTTGATGACACGTTTATTTCTCCTGCTCTCGAAAGGTATTTACGTATAGATAGATAGATGTATAAATAATACACATATTTAAGAATTTGCAGCATAGAATTTTGAAGGAGATAATAGACATGGACTTACAGTGTATTCATTATCAACTTCAGACCCCTCATAGATGATGCGAATCTTAATTTGGTTTAACATACTATAGATATGGTAGAAGAGACTTTCAGTATGATTAAGGCTAATCAGAAGTGTGCAAAATATTTTGCATTAAAACCAATTTGAGCTAAAAGCAGGCTGCTTTGACTTTTGAATAATTTTGTAACCATTTCAAATGTAGCTGATATTGAAATGCTTTTTTGTGAGTGGAATACTTTCTGTTAAGATTGGAACACTTCTGGTGAAGCTTGAACAATCTATTTAATGCTCAAAGTGGCTAAATTTGAACTGTTTGCTCATTTTTAAGACTAATATAATTCATTTCATTGGTGGTCTTACAAATGGCTAAGGATGCTATGTAAAGGCTACCTCTCATATAATATGTTTAATATCTGTACTATCTGTTTCACTACTGTTGTATAATTTATTTATTATACAGATGTTTGGCAATGTTATAACTTAACTATTCTTGTTGCTGCTATTATTTATAACAGTGTGCATATCACTATCAGATTTATTGAGCAAATTTTGTTTAATAAATAAATTTACCTAGGCAAAATATAAAGTCTATATCTAGAGTTGTTCTGTTGATGGAAAGACTTTATTTTATTTTCAGGAATAGATACCATATAGATGACCTATTGCATAGACTCCATGAATAGATTTCTCCCACCTCCCTTGCCTTTGCAGTGTTCTTGTGCCAGCTATACTCACAATCTGGTACAAAATAAGATTGTGATGATTGTTAGGCTGTGCAGCTTGTACCTGAAAAGAAAATGAGAGTTCTTTGGACCAAGTGCTGTGTCAAATAAATATAGTTTCATATAGTATTTCTATCAAGACCTGATATATTTATTTACTTACAAAATTTCTCATGCTGCAAAGTGACTCTAGGTGACTTACAATTAAAATAATAAATATTAAAATATTAAAAGCAATATTATATTATTATATTATATATTAACAATTAATCAATTAAGTATTAGACAGTTAAATGCCCTGACCAAAAGATAATAGTTATAAATAGTTATAAAGAATAAAATACTTCTATTTTTCAAAAGATTAATCCCCCAAATGTATTTGTAGTGAAAAGAATTAAGGAGAATTCCTTGCCTGATTACTGAGATAAAAATACATCTCATGAGAAAAGTTGTTTGAAATATAACTTCATACTTATAATTGTCTTTATTTTAACTGCATTGCAAAGGTATTACAATGGTGCAAGTTCATGGGCAGATCATGTAGTCAATGGTACAGCTGAAAATTACAGGTGAGTAAAGTGTAAAGTATTATGATTCTGTAATGTAGGATTGCATTTATAATTTAAACAGAGCATTATTTTAGTTTATATTTTATTTCTTCTCTTTTAAAACCAATTCTTTGAGCATTAAATTTTAGTAATATTTTTAAAAATCTAATTATTCTTCAGATATAGATACCCTATCTACATGCACAGGGATGCATGCAGTCCTCAGGTTCCCTTTAGTAGCCCTAAAAGTCCTCTCCAATTATGGTTATTGACAAATAATTACATAGTTTCCTGCCATTAAAAGGTGGGTAACTAATGAAATCTATAATGTAAATCCTAATTAGTATAATGGCATTGAAAAAAAAATCCTTAACCATTCAGATTTTCCGTGGAAGTATTAAAAATATTTTCATGTTTTGAAAAAGGAATTTGCTAGGCATTTTTATTCATGTATAAGAAAGAATAAAAAATCTTAGTGGCTTAGATTAAAACAATGGAAAGAAGATTAGGTCACAAGCTTACAATCTAAAAAAAAATTGAAGAAGAAAAAAAATAATTTCTGATGTCATTTCATGAAGTGAAGTAGATAGAAACCTTCCAAATATCTTCTCAACTTCATGGACACACCTGATGGCAAGAAATAGCTTGCTGCTGCTGCATTTAAATGATTTATTTACCCCCCAGTCTAATCTGCAGCCCTTGTATTTGTTAATAAAGCCCGCCTATCAATACATCTTATGAAAGTAATGTGTTGAAAATACCCCAAATAGGGGTACATAGAATTAGGTGACACTTTATATAAGTCATGCCAACAACATAATTACTTCATTGACTTATTGTGAATAAAAAGAATGAAAGAAAAACTTGAAAAATTACATAAGAATGAACCGAAAGAAGTGCTTTAAAACTTACATAATTATAGTTTAAAAAAAAGGCAGAGTTCTTTATTGAAACAGTGTGCTTGCACCACTTCTGATTACAGGACCATTCTTCAACAACCGTTCAAACTTATGACAGTGCTAAACAAATGGCGGTTACAATCAGTCCTTCAAGTTCAGGCTGTCCCATCACACACACACCATGATCACATGATTGTGATTTGGGGATTTGACAACTGGCTTTTCACTTACAACTGGTGGCAGTAGTGTCCGATTACCTGATTGCCATTTGCAACCTTCCCTGCTACCTTATTCAGAAAGTAAATGGTGAAGCAGGAGAGAAGGCTGTAAAGTGCTGGGCTTAATCTCACCCACCTACTCATGGTCCCCCACCTCTTCTTTGCTTCCATCGCACTACACCCTCCCTGACCAGTGCTATGCCTCTCAGCCATTTGCCCCCCTCTGAAATCCTGTGCACTCAACCTGTGCTGCATTACCCTTGTACCTCCTTGACCCTTTCTCCCACCCTGCACACTCTCCTCACTTCCTGCACCATCTGGCATTGTCTATCTGCTCATCTGGAACTTGCAACTTTCTGCCAGCTTCCTATTGACTTTGGTTATGAGAAGCTGGTAGGAGGTTGTCTCACCTAATGATAATGGAGTTTGGTTAATAATTGCTGCAGGAACTGCAGGGATTGCCATCATTAAGTGACACATTGCTTAACAATGGAAATTATGGTCCCAATTGCCATTGTAAGTCAAGGACTACCTGTACTTACAAAATATTTTTGAAACATGCCGAGATAACTGCAGGGAGCAGTCCAAGCAGTCATGAGGTGTTCAAGCTGACTCAAAGGGCGCTCACCTCCCCAAAAACCTCCCAGATGTATTAAATTGAGTTTAAGTAGTTTTTTAGTAGAAGTTTTGTACTTCTATAAACTTGCTGATACATACATCTTGTCTTCAAGTGGTTCTCAGTTTGGTTCCATTTTTTTTTTTTTTTTTGGTACTGAGGTATAAATAAAGCCAATTGTGTTTACTTACCAAGACCCAAAACTACATGTATTTTGTGCAGAAACTAAGAATGGTGAAAAACACATTTTTGGACAAAGTACATCATGTTATTATATATTATACTACTTCATTTTAGTTTTTGTAGATGCTACAGACTATATATGAGTGTAGTTGAACACTCATAATGTATTGTTATTATATATTCAAGCAATAATCATAATAGAAGAATTATAGTGTTAAAGAATTGTCAAATATGGTTAGCTATGTAAGAGATAAGGTTCTTATGTACTATGATATTTTAGGTGCCTTGCATACTATGCTCATCTAAATATAGCATTACATAAAGAATATAAAATTATGCAAAGAGATGTGATGTCAGGATGGATCAGATTTTTAAAAAAAAAATCTAAGAAAGATTAAACTAAATGTTGAAGTGCTTGTTAATGTAAATTTTCAAAGATTCTAAAATCTAGATTTTGATTTTTCTGTCTCTAGATTCCTAATAGACTATATTAATTTTCTACAAAGTTGCTGTAAAAAAATATTTTTGTAATTGTTATTTGCTTCAAATTCATATTTTTTGCTGCCTATTTTAAAAGGGACTTTCTTGCTTTCTTCAATATTTGCTTAAGATCCCTCATATAGGCATGGCGGTAGAGACAGAATCCTCTGCAGGTGCAGTGAAGTTCTGTAGCAACATACATAATTTGATGTATTATCACATATATGGCAGAAATTATATATAAGTATTTTCTGAGACATTTGTGTTCAGATATTTCAGCAGATTTTAAAATAAGTCCCCCCTCTCTCTCTGTGTGTGTTTGTGTGTGTGTGTGCGTGTGTGTAAATTTTGGTGAACTAGTAGTATAAACTTCAATTGGTAACTATTATTTTAAAAGTAATTCAGCCAAGTTATACAATATTATATTATTTTAACTTTTAGCCATGGTAGTGCAGTGATTAGAATGCAGTATTGCAGGCAAATTCTGCCCACTGCCGGAAGTTCAGTCCTGACTGGCTTAAGGTTGACTCAACCTTTCATCCTTCCGAGGTCAGTAAAATGAAGACCCAGATTGTTGGGGGAAATATGCTGACATTTGTAAACTGCTCAGAGAATGCTCTGAAACAGTATGGAGCCATATATAGGTCTAAGTGCTATTGCTGTTGTAGCTTAACAGTTGTTTAACATTAGAAATTTGTTCATAACAGTAGTTATTAAAAATGTGCTAACAGGTTATTTTATATCTGTGATCAAACAGCAAAATTCCAATAGCTAATAGAAGAATAGCATGTCCAAGGATTGAAATCCAACAGTCTTCCACAGATACTGACAGGTATTCTCAGTAAAAAGTATTTGGCTTAGATTAAGTTTGTGACTCCTAGGCATAATTTGTGTGTTTTTTTCTTGTAGTGCTTTTATTGTCTCTAGAAATAGAGAACGCTGTATGTGATCAGTCAAATGCACCATAATTTGCTGCATTTTAATGTTTTTATTTGACATTCATTGCTTTTATTTTTTAATCTGAACATTAGATATCATGCACAGAAAACAAAATGCAGTGCAAAAAAAAAGTCAGATAAATATTTTTGAAAAGCAATGAATTGTTCCTATGGTTTCATCTTTGTGCTTCCTGTATGTTTAGTTTAAGAGTCTATACTTTAAAAACTTTGGCCTTGATGAATTCAACTTCATTGTACTTACTCTTTTGTGCCTGCAATCTTCTACTTAGGTAAAAATAATATAAATAATGTAAAGCTCAAGTAATCTCCATTGTTTTATTTCAACATTAGCAAAGTAATTTTGCAAATTCATTTCTTTGCATGAGACATTTTAACTAAAAATATTTTTAACTAATTTCATTTAATTCTTTTGAAGGACTTGGCGAATGACTAAAGCCTAGGTTTCAAATGACTTTTAGTCTATTAAAACTATACATATTTTATATGCTCAGTTAAAAGGTATGGATATGTACAGTACTATTTTCCTGTTATTATATAGATCTTCATCTGACAAGAAAATTGAATGTGGAAACAATTTTCATAATGAAAAAAATTAACTGTGACTACTTTATGTTTTTATTCTTACATAGCTTTTAGTCATTAGTCAAACTAAATTATGAATGAATTGATAGGATTTAAATTCAATTTATATTGCTGGAAAGCATTTCTTTTACTCCCCTTGGACTCCATTCTTCTGGGCTAACTTATACAAAGAGGGACCCAACCTAGCGTTAAAATCTCCTAGTAGAACCACTATGAACAGAGGGTACAATGTGTATATATCGTCTAGGATAACTTCCAGACCCATCCAGTATCCGAAGTTATAATACCAGGTGTTTGAAGGGATATACACATTTACCAGAATTAACTCAAACTCTTTATATCCAAATTTAACAGCTAGGAAATATGAATACTTGTCTACATTGTGTAATTTATCCCCCTGCCATTGCAATTCTTGCTTTGTAAGAATGCATAACCCACAAGAGGGTCTCCCTTTGTTTTTTGTTTTTTGGGCTGAGGAAGTCCATTCCTGAAGGCCTGGCAGTTGTACTGGTTCATCCATTTCGATTAACCAGGTTTCCTGAAAAGCTATTACATCAAATCTAGAGAGGAAATACATTAGACCACCATCAATCATCCCTTTCCAGCCAGCCACATTCCAAGTCAGCATCCCAGGGGCAAAGTGGTCTGGCTTGGTTGATTGGCTAGGTGGTAGAAATGCCAGATGTTAACTTGACTTTGGAGCTGGGTTGATATCAACTATGCTTCCCATATGAACACAGTTATTGTGAGGTTCGATATTTCTCTTCATGGGTTGCAGAGCTTTTTGCAGAAATTAGAATGCCTACATTCAGGGAATTGTCTGCCTGTTGGTAACTTGCTGCGGGTAGCCTTGCTCAAATCTGCAACTGAATAGAGTTGGTCTAGTGGTGAAGGCACCAGGTTAGTGCAGGAGTCTAGTATTGCCTTAGGAATAAAAGTTGGCTAGGTAATTTTGGGCCAGTCACACTGTCTCAGTCCATCTTGCTTCACAGCCTTGTTGTTGGGGGAGAATAAAAGAGGAGAGAATATTAGGTATGTTCACCAGCTATTTTATAAAAATAATAAAGGCAGGATAAAAATAAATAAATTATAATTAAATATATTCCCTTCTCCCGGGTTAAGGAAATGTTCAAAATTCTTTTATAGTGTTCTCCTGTGCTACTTGCGGGGGTATCTCTCCTTCCTATACACCTTTGATATTGGCATGTCAAGAGCTATATAATTTAACTCATGCAGTTTAGTGTGCTTAAGCTATTTTATGAATACAGGGATTCAGAATATAGGCATTCCGAATCTTTTACCAATAAAACTCCCAATCACTTTATTGGTAGGAAGGTGATCTGTTGTTAGACTGAAATCTGTCTTTAAAAGGCTGATTCTAGATAAGCTGCCTCCCTGATACTTAGCCCTTCCTTGCTGAACATATGATCAAACGTGTCTGCCTGTTTGGAGCATAAAGTGAAACTATTGTTTTGATTTTTTCTGTGAGGTCTTCATGTACAATCAAATGGAAGGAACATTAATCAGTTGTTGATTTGGATTTGCAAAGAGATAGATTGAAGGTGTTGAACTTTTGCAATAGAGAGCTCTTTTGTGTATCTTTATTTATATCTATATCAGTATCAATATCTGTTCCTCCTAGGAAGATCTTTACTTTAATGAGGTTTGATATCTTATTTTCTAAAATGCTTCAAGGAAGACACAGCGCTCCTAGCATATTACTGCGCTGTCATTTTTACTATATCTAGTACTCCGAATAATACCTCTTTACTGACTGTTTTAGTAGGCCTTAAGATGAAGTATAGGTAGTCCTCGACTTGTGATCACAAATGGATCTTGCTAAGCAAGATAGTTCTTAAGTGAAAAATTAGCCGAAATCTAGAACACATGACTGTGGGGATACTATGGTAATTGTAAGTGAGAGGACCAATTGTATGTCACTATTTTCAGTGCCATTCAAATGGTCACTAAAGGAATTGTTGTAAGTCAAGGACTACTTGTAATATATTTTTATCACATGATCAGTTCACTAATACCTTCATGAAAATAGCTACATTTCATTCGGTTGAAATTTGCATCAGAAAGCAAGAATTTGACCCTAGGGTCTCTTCTATATTATTTTATCATAGTTTTTTAAAATGTGTATCACTTCTATATATATTCATCTCTCACTTTTTTTCTTTTTAAATAAATAAGCAATAACATTGTAGCACATTTTTAGTCACTTTAAAAAACCTAAACAAACTTTATTTATCAAATGAGATACTTCCCTCCTGCATTGAGTTTCTCTAGAAGATGATGCTTTACTGAAAAAAAAAGCAAGTTATGCAAAATTCAAATCAATGCTATACTAAAGGATAACTTTAGAAACACATTTTGCAATTTTATAACCTCTTGGTAATACAACTATCTAGTGTTCTTTTGCTCTCCTTAATACTAAAGTTAAACTTGGTTTTTTGTATAGGTAAAACTCTAAATCCTCAGTTGAAGCTATGTTCATGAATCAAAATAAATATATGACAGTATTTAATTGTTTTCTCAGTCAATATGTTATCTTTACTGTATTGAGGGAAAACATTACAGATTTTAAGGATCTTTTAATAATATACACACTATACACACTGTAAAAATCCTACTATATTATAGAACCAGTATGTAGCCATTACCTAAAATTAATTCCTGCTACAGCAATTTTGGATAATGGTTTGAAAATTCTTCATGTCTTTCCATGTGGTTTCTTGGATGTCCTTGAATCTGATGTGTTTGATCTTTTTTGCACAGAAGTATAGCTTATGCCATATGTGCATATATCAAATACTATGTTCAATTACAAATGCATTTCTTCTCATTTAAAACTATTTAATTCTTGCTACAGTTATACCTGACAGTTAAACTAATACACAGTAAATGAGAAATGTTATTTAGGATTTTTAAAATCCTTTGTTCATATTTAGTGATTCTGTTGAAATGAGCCACCATAAATAACTTCTGACAGACAGCAATTATATGGAAAAATGATTTTTAAAAAATATTAATCTGTTTAATATTTATAGTGAACTGCATCTTTTCTTTTGAATTCTGAATTATCCCAAAATAGTAATGCAATTCAATGCAAAATTATTAGATTTTATTCCACTGCATAAACTGTCTAAATAATTTTCTTCACATAACCATTTTAAGGAAGTATACTTCTTTATACCCACTTAATATTAGCAAGAAGAAAACTTTAAAAAGTTATTAAAATTAGTTTATGTTGGATAGCTCCAAATCCAATGTGCTGCAGCATAATGCATAACCACAGATAAAAGTCAATTGAGCTGCTTTTTGACTAATATTACAGGAATTGGGAACCTAGACTACCATATCAAAGATCCAGATCAACAGAACAGCGTCCAGTGCTAGAGCGGCCCAGCCCCCGCTCCCGATCCACTGAGCGTCCTGAGTCAAACCTCATGAGATCGATGCCTTCATTAATGACTGGAAGATCTGCCCCTCCCTCACCTGCATTATCGAGGTGAAACAAATGGATTAATCCTGCCCCACCAGTTCACTTTTTTATTTTCCAAAAACTTCAATAATATTTCCTTTCATCATTGGCTGATCACTAGTAGTTGTAGATACTAACCCTGCCAACATCAATACACCACTTATATTCCATTGGGATATAATGGTGTAGCTGCCATTGTAATTTGTTTACTAACAATAATTAATAACAATTACTTACATTTGTTTGTGATTTCTCATTTATTAGGAATCCTGTGTGATTTCTTACTCTCAAACACTTCATAATTATCATGTATTTCTCTTACAGAACAAGTAATTAAATGTGATCATCAGACATCGCTTATGGAATAATAATCATAACATCAAATGATACTTTAAAATAATTTCTTAAATTTGTACTAATTTGATATATTAATCACTGCTTTCTCTTATTTGCTGTGTGCATGTTTTTGCATTTTGTTTTGTTTTGGTGATGTATTTTATTCATGATTAAACAGTAATGATTTATTTAGGTTCTTTTTTTTTCTTTTTTCTTTACAAATAGTGGAATGAAGTTGGAGAAGATATGTCCAAATCAGACTATTGTCTGGCTTCTTTGCTTTTCTATTGTGAATATAACAATCAGTAACAATGATATTATTTCATTTCACTCATTGAAATATACTTTTGATTTATTGCCTGTCATCATCTCACTGTTAGTTGGAATTTGAAATGTTTGTTAGTTGAACATGGAAACAGTCATATTTATACATATACTTCTTTTTTATTTTATTTCAGTATGTCTCAGTATGCATATACTTCTACATATATTTCTTTATATGGTTAACAGATGCAGTTACAAAAATACATTTTTGTCCCATCTTTTCAATATCTTACTGGTAACTATGTTTTTTAAAATCATTAAGGTTGAACGGGCATCATTTCAATTAAAGTTCAACATGCACAAAAGTCATTAATCATTCCTTTGTTGTCAAACTACATAAGAAAAAATATATGTTGTAACTGATGGTTTCTCTTGATGTGTATCCTGTAGGTCACATGCTCATTCGGGGTCAGTCCAAACAAGCCCATCAAGTACTCCGGTGGCAGGACGCAGGGGTAGACAGTTGCCACAACTCCCACCAAAAGGGACCCTGGAGAGAAGTAAGTGAGCATTTTAAATGAAAAGAAATTATAAGAAGTTAAAAATAGAAAATAGTTTTAAATTTTAAAATCATTTGAATTTTAATTCGTCTTATTTCCAGAGCTCTGAAAATGTAGATTAGAATTTTATCTTTAAAATGGCATTACTACTGTGTTTCAGAGGGTTGCAAATGCTTATTGATTTCATTCAATTCATAGGAATTTGAATTATGCAGGATTGTTGTACTATAGGAGCCATATAAATATTGTAACAGTGAAAATAACGTATGAATAATGTATGTATATATCATGGCTAAAATTTATGAAGCAGGTTTTGATACTCTACCTGTAATGGACCACATGTGCAGTGGTAGGATTCAAATATGTGAACAGCTGATTCTCTGTGTGGATGCCGCTTCCAGAAGTCCATTCTGGGCCTGGGCAACAAAAAATTAGCTACCGGTTGTGTCGAAGTGGTGCAAACTTCCCACCACTGCACATGTATGAATCAGTTATGGATGGCGACATAAATTAAGCCGCAGATTCTAAAAATATATTAATTATTCAGAAGTCTCTGGAATAGAGTTTTTATGTAAATGTTGGAGAAAAATGATTGTTCAATGCTACCATGAACAGGCAAAGAATGCTATATCCAAACTTGTTAAAAATAAATAAATAACCCACATTATAAGCTGCTGGCTAGGTAATATCACATTTCTAGCCTAAATCACTTTTTCAGAACCACAGCTGAATAAAAGAGTGACAAACCAATGTTATTCATATTTTGTTTAGAATATGCTTCTAACTTAATGGAAAAAGGATTGAGGATCTGGCTGCTAAACATCCTTAAACTGATTCTGGATATAAATCAAACTTTTACAAAGTTTTAAGTTCAGTGAATGTTTTAAAAACTTCTTCAACTGAAGAACACTATTCCTATGTAGTAACAGTGTAAGAAGAAGTACAATTTATCCCTGAAAGAGAGCTTCCAGCTATTTTAAATACAAGATTATCCCTCAACATAAATTTTTAATCTCTTAATTTTTTTAAAAAATGTGGTTTTCCACATCCTTATAGACTCTATCATAATACAGGCTCTTGTCTATAAAGATATTAAAAAAAACTACTTAAAAATCACACGGAGCCACTGTGTATATCACAAAAGAACATAGAATCATAGAGCCGAAAGGAGCTTCCAAGGTCTTCCAGTTTAACTGCCTGCTCAAGGTAGGATTATACTCTCCCAGTCAAAGGGTTGTCCAATTATTAACATGGATTATTTCCCATGCATTTTATCAGATGTTTCATTTGTTTTGTATATTACAGTGGTATAATTTAATTCCCTGAAATAGATAAATTCAGAGGATCATTAAACTCACTTTGCATTTTACTTTGTCTTTTTGTTTGAAAATGTTTTTACAACTGTTAAATGTTATGTCGTATAAAAATATAAATATTTCCATTAGAAATAAATAATTATAAGAAAATTACATTTTTAATTTATTAAAAAATTACAGTATACGTTCCTTTGTAAATAAGAATGTTATAATGGCATCATGGCCATAATACAGGTAGTATTATCTACCTTTATCCTCGACTTACAACCACAATTAAGCCCAAAATTTCCATTGCTAATCAGCACAGTTGTTAAGTGAGTTTTGCCCCATTTTATGATCATTTCTTGCCACAGTTCAGTGAGTCACTGCAGTTGTTAAGTTAGTAACATGGTTGTTTAATTAATCTGATTTTCCTATTGACTTTCCTTACCAAAGGATCGCAAAAGGTGATCACATGACTCCAAGACATTGCAACCATCATAAATAAATGCCAGTTGTCAAGTGTCCAAACTTTGATCACATGACCATGGGGTTGTTGCAGTGGTTGTAACTGTGAAAAATGATCATAAATTACTTATTCAGTGCTATTGTGACTTCGAACAGTCAGTAAACGAATGGTTGTAAGTCGAGGACTCCCTGAATACACAGAATTCCTTAAAAGATGTAGATTATCTGAATCCCTTTCAATCAGGATTCAGGCTTATTTATTCAATTTATATGGGTACCCATTTCAAACCTTTTATTCTAGATGGCTAACATGGAATAAAAATAAAATAAGAACATGACAGCATAACAATAAATAATAAAGGTAGAGTAAGAGCCAAGATAAAATCAGCAATGTACACAACATATTCATGATACAGTCTCAATTACATGCCACAGGTTTTAAAACCAGATTTTAAGAGCCTTACGGAAAGCCAACAGGGTCAGGGCAAGTATAGTCCCCAGGGGAAAAACATTCCACATGGTGGGCTCCATGATACAAAAAGCTCTCCTTCAGGGATTAGTCAAATGACATTTATAGATGTGACCTGGAACATCTCTCTAGGTGTCTAGATGTCCTCCTAGATGCCACAGGACAAATAGATATAATTTGGGTGAGATGCTCCCATAAGTAATCGAGCCCCATGACATATAGGGCTTTATAGGTCATAACCTGCTACTTGAATTGAATACCGAAACATACAGAAAAGAGATGTCACAGGTGCTAAATGAAAAGCATAAACAAATGCCTTTGCTGCTGTATTTTGCACCAGCTATATATGCTCCATATATATGTTACTGCTCCATTGCAGTAGTCCAGTTGGAAGTTGATCACAACAGGAGTGACTGTGAGAAGAGCCTGGTCAAGGAACAATCAGTGCACAACATATAGCTGTACCAAAGCTCTCCTAGCTATTGCTGACATTGCTTTTTGAATAGGAGCTTCAAATCCAAGAGTACTCCAAATTACACATAGGTTCCATCTGGGGTAGTGCAGCCCCCATCCAGAACAAGAAGTGAAATGACTCCAGAATCCAGAGGTACTAAAACCCAAAGCTTCTTGAGTTGAAACCTGTTGTTCCCTATCCGGACCCCCACACCCTCCAAACAAGGACAGGATGTCCACATCATCATTGGATGGCCCAGGGTGGAGCTATCCTCACCTAAAACATCAGATGACATTACCCAGCAGTTTAAATGTTAAAAATGTTAAATAGGAGAAGAGAGAGTATCAGTCCTTGCAGCATCTCACTAAACAGAGTCGGTGGGCTAGATCAGCATAAGTGCTTAGATATCAGTTCCAGTCTGTAGTTATAGAAGTCAGCTTGGGGGTTCCTCACCTTTAAGTACCATAAGGCTTGATTTTACCTCACCCATTGTATGTCATGTGAAAGAAGCTAGTAGGCCATCAAGTAAGATCAAGACTAGACTGAGAGAGAAACAGAGCAGAGATACTGCAAAAATAGTTGGTTACTGTCATTTTATTGAAATAAAGTTATTCTATACAACTATGCCAGCATTACTCTCACTGTAGCATGCATTGTTGTCAAGTACACAAAATTTAGTTATAAATGCATGCCTTAGTTAGAAAACTATTTTTTAAATTACCATTGTATGTGCAAACTTTCACTAACCAAGGTAATCACTAAATAGTGGGTGTACTGCAGTGTGGTCTATTTGAAAGTGAAAACTCCTTGGAAATACAATTTGCACAAAATACAGTTGTCTGTTTAGAAAGTGGGCATTACATAGCAGCTATATTTCACATCTGTGCTACAGATGCTTCACTTATTGCCAATAAGTTTCTAGATCAGCGGTTCTCAACCTATGGGTCGCGACCCCATTTGGGGTCGATCGACCATTTTTCGGGGGTCGCCAAAGGTGGCGATCCGCCATTTTTCGCGGCGCCGTGCACGCGCGCCGCGCATGGGGGCGGTGCCGTGCACGCGTGCCGCGCATGGGGGGCGGCGCCATGCACGCACGCTGCGCATGGGGGGCGCCGTGCACGCACGCCGCGCATGGGCGGTGCCGCGCATGTGCGCCACGCATGGGGGGCGTCGTGCACGCACGTCGCGCATGGGGGGCCATCGCGCATGCGCACCGCGCATACGCAGAACGTTTGTGTGACGGGGGTCGCCGTCACACAAACGTTGAGAAGCACTGTTCTAGATGCATGTAAAATTCTAGTTTTGGTCTATAAATCCTGTATAGCTTGCTGCTTAGAAACTTGCAGGGCTGCCTTCTTCAACCAGAATTTGCCTTTTAGCATGCTCATCTCAGGCCAAGTGCTTGGTTATAACTCATTTGAAGGGAGCTGAAGCTAGAAGGCATTTTCCTGTTGTAGCCCCTTTCTTATGGATCAGGCTACTCTTGGAAGTGAGTCTCACCTCATCTGTTACAGCATGCTGGAAGTAAATAAAGGTAGAGCATTTTTGGAGGGTGTCTAATAATTAATACCTGATATCATGTTTACTAACTTTATTACTTTTTAATAATGACTTCTATAGGAATTATTTTTATTATTTCATTATGATGTGATTTTAGAATAGTTTTGGATTATTATGGTTTGAATGGCTTTTGTTGATATTTTTCATAAGTGTTTTAATGGTGATATGTGGATCTCTGGCAGATATGGTGATTGACTAAAGAAATAAATAAAGTATATATTTCATCCACATACTTGCTATTACACAAAAGCTGATAACAAAGGTTTCCCAACCCATTGGAGAGATATTTGGGGAAATTAAGGGGCTTGCCAGGAGCCATTCATCTGCTTCTAACATTTGTCTTTGTGCAACCTATTTTAATGAAGACATGTTTCTTGCATAGTCTGTGTTGCATTATAAATGATAAATACATAAAGTAATATTAGCAACTCTGTTAAAAATCACTACTGAAATTCAGTAGTAACTTAATTAGCTAATTTATTTTCTTATTTTGGAAATTAAAATTGTAGAATGCTATTGAAAATGTAAAAAATTGGATACTTTGTGACATACTAATGAATAGAAAAGTCTAAACTATTAATTATTGATTTTATCTCTGGCTAAAACATAATTTTAATTTGAAATAAAATACTATAACTAGTGATGTATCAAACTGATGGCACTCTGTGATAATGCTTGGAAAAGCCGTTTGTTTTTCCAGTTAGGGAAAACCAGTGAAAATTGGAATTTTGTGTTATATTTAACAAATAACCAT